GTAATCACATGTCTCTGATGTCACTAATGCACGTGCATCTCGCTTTTCGCGCTGTTCCTTTAGTTGCCACTGCGCCCTTGTAACAAACTGGGAAAACGCACAAGTAAATGATGACAGTTTCTTAAACAACTTTTTTATTTTTGTGACAAAAATTATGCAATTTTTTTCTAGAGTTGGTCGGTTGTTTTTATTGCAGTCCGCGTTTGTTTGATTCATTTATGTCAATTTGTTTTGTGTTAGATTGCAATTCATCGGTATCATTTTGTCTCAAACGGACTGTAGGGGTTCCTGACATGCGTAAGGGAGGAAACTACATTAGTCAACTTGGCCACACTTACCTTCTTGCACGTACCTGCAACTGGCGGGAGCATAATCGCACATACTGATCACAGAATTTATACATTTATACTCACTTCAGGACACTATAGCTCTTTCGTGTGAAATTGTCACATGGTGCATGACAACCTACAACTGCCATCTAGGAATGAGGCACAAATGGTCAGGTCCTTTAAGATGTTGTTTGCCACTGTGCAGAGTTGTGTCTCTTCGTTATGCAAGGGTCGTACCCGAATCCATAGGTGTTGATTGTGTTCTTCGGTCTGTAAGCATTGCACCAGACAGACAGACAGACAGACAGATTTTATTGACGCAAGCCACATGGGCCTCTGGCCATACATACAATACAATATAGATAATATTTATGTTGGATGGTGAGGATGACATTATTAATAAGTTAAAAGTTGTTTCTTAAACGGAATGCTTCATACACATATCTGCCTAGAGAGCGTTGAGTATTAATATTTTCTGATGATAATAACTGTATACATTTGTAAACTGAATAATTTTTACAATAATATTTCTTTAAATGAATAGATCTTAGGTGAGTGTACGATGGACACTTGAGTGAAATTCGTCTTCTATGTCATTAAGATTACAATTAGTACAAATTCTTTCATTCTGTGGGATTTTATTACTACCATGTCTACCAGTTTCAATTAATAATGTATGAGATGACAAACTTAATTTACATAATACAGACCTGTGGTTACAATTTAAAACATTAACTAAATACATTTCAAAGCCAAAGTTTACCTTAAATTGTTTGAATAACATATAAGTAGTAGATTTCCTCATCTCCTGGTACCAATACGTAATGAATTTATCTTGTAGTCGTTGTTTTAAAAAAGACATGAAAACTGGAACATTTACCTCAAAGGGAGACAACCATGCATAATAAAAACCGTCTTTTACTTTAGAATACCAGCCAGATCTTTCATCTAAAATAGAATACACTTCCCTCATAATGCAATTCTCTCATTGAACAACCTTAAACCAAAACTTAACCATCTGTAATTAACGCTGTATGCCAAGAGGAATCTTCCGAGTTCACCGTACACTAATAAATTACTTGTACTACTTTTAACGCCGAGAATAATTTTACAAAATCTACGATGAACTCTTTCAATACATTCTGCCTGTTTCCATCCCCAAATCTCACAACCATAATGCAAAACAGGTACAACACACTCATCAAATAATTCTAACGCAACTTTCACATTTATCTTATTGGTCCTAACTTCTCTGAGTAAAGCATTACACGCCTTCAGGCCCCTATCTGGTAATATTTTAATAGCTGGCGACAAGTTTCCATTAGATTTAAATAATAAACCTAAATAATTAAATTCAGCAATGGGTACATTACCATAATAAAAAACCTGCTTTGATAAAATATATGACTTTTGGAAAGTAACTACTTTAGTCTTATCGATATTTACAGATAGGCCCCAAATATTGCAATAGTCTAATAAACTATTAAGTTGAGACTGTAAACCAGTTGCAGATTTACTCATGAGAACTATACCATCTGCGAAGAGAAGTAAAAACAGCATTATATCGTGTATATCGATACCAGAAGTAACATTTTCCTGTAACTTTAATTCAAGATCTTCTATGAATAAGGAAAACAATAATGGAGAGAAAATTTCGCCCTGACGTACACCAGTATCATATGTTGAAACATCGCTAAGCTCATTATTATATCTAACACACGACTTAACATCCTTATACATGGCCCTGCATATGTTGAGAAACTCCCCCCCTATACATAACTTGATTAATTTAAGCCACAGTCCGTTACGATAAACACTATCAAACGCCTTCTGGTAATCAATCAAAGCACAAAATAGTTTCTCCTTTCCCTTAAACACATGATCTATCAATCTATCTAAAATAAATATAGCATCTATCGTACTACAACCTGCTTTGAATCCGAACTGAGCGTCAGAAATCATATTAAACATATATGTAACCCTACTTAATCTTGCATTAAGAACTTTAGTAAATAATTTACCAAAACTGCTGAAAAGAGTAATGCCTCTATAATTATTGGCGTCATCAACAGAGTGTTTCTTGTGAACTGGTACTATAAGTCCAACTGACCACATGGTCGGGAAACATCCTGAATCTAATATTTTGTTGAAGTCTTATTATATCATTGTCCATTATCTCTAGCAAATGGTCTACATATTCCAGTAAGAATTTATCTTTTCCCGGTGATTTGTTTTTCTTTATATTGTTTATAGCTGCCTTTACTTCGTCGAGTGTTATTGGTGTATTTAGGGTTTCGTAACAGTCACTGGGTAAATGTTCACTTAATTCTTCTTCCACTGTTGGATTGCTAACGTTATGGTCTGAATGGATAAGTTTGAAGTGTTGGTAGAAGTCTTCGAGTGTTAAGTCAGACTCCACAGAAGACTTTTTATTCCTGTTGATGAATTTCCAGAATTCCCTAGGGCGTTTCTTTTTAAGAGCACAGAGTTCAGCTGCTATTCTGGATTTGTAATGTCTTTTTTTCCTTCTTACACAATTTTTATACTGTCTCTTACAGTATAATACATGTATTCTTTGATGAGTGGTCGGTGATTTTTGGGGGCATTTCCTTTGTAATTTGAATTCCTTCCTTAGTGAATAACATTCTTAGTCAAACCACGCTGCTTTATCCTTATCGTCAAATGTGCCACTTTTACGTTGTACAGTTTTCTCAAAGAATGTTTTTGCAATTTCGACGATTTTATCAGTAAAAGAACTTAAAGTTTTATCTACAGTTTCTTGATTCCAGATCTCATCATCATGGTTCAACAGAGTTTTTAGTAGGCTTAGTTCTTCCACTAGATCGTCTTTAAATGACACTTTGTGGTCCGCGTTCCATTCTGAATATGTAAACTGTTCATCTTCCATGTCGTTGTCCATAGATTTACTTTCGGCAAAGTTCAGAAATATAGCACTATGGTCTGAAAACTCATTTATATCCCCAACTTTAAAGAATGATATAAGTTTAAAATCCTCCAGGTTCATCAAACAAAAGTCAACAACACTTGATCCTAGTGCTTGATGACACGTATATTGGCCTACCCCAGCGTCCTCTGAGCATCTGCCGTTAACAATACGGAGACCTGTTGCTTTGCACAGACGCAGCACACCCGTTGTCAAGGGTTTCTCAAGTTATTAAAAACCCACCACACTGGGCAACATTGAGCTGACACCTCGTGGACGTAAATACGGTTCAGAGTAGCTTTAACACAACTCACTCACCAACACGGGACCTGGCTGATTCAGTGTGTCCCAATTCATACAATGTCGCCAAATGATATCACACAATAAACAGGTGATTTATCTGTTCCGAGCGCTGTTTAATACAACTGGTCGACATGATTCAGCTATATTTAGAAGTCGCGTGTGATTCTACAAGTGCTCTTATACATACACACCTTTCAGTACTGCAATGCCCACACTCTCGCTTTGCTGCAATTTGGGATCAGTGACATGAAGGTAAATGATTCCAGCCCACGTGATTCTTTTCATTTTTATAAAACAAAAAAAAAACAAAAGGATGAAGGTAAGAATTATCGCACTGGCATAATGGAGTGTTCATGACAGAACCGGCCAAATCTTGTATCATGAAAAAGAAGCACGTGCAGCCTACTCGCTTACTAAGTCAAGAATAATTTCACTCCCGACAGAGTTCCGCCAGTTTCCTCGAGCCTCGTAGCGCTGCCTGCCCTGATCGCTGGTGCAATAAAGGAAGTGATTGATTTGTTCACAGCAATAGCATCGATCTGGTTGGAGCCGGTTCCAGTACAGTCTGCAGAAAATACGAGGGCGCTGCTTGCCTCAATAACCCCCGAGTCTTTTGTACTCGTAAAAAGTAATTTACCAACATGAAAAAACAATAAATAGATAGAGCTAGGTAAAGATCGCCATATCGACTGTTCAGTTGACTCCCAAGGAGCTCAACACGAAGACTCACTGATGGGCAAAACTAAACTTGGGGGTTGAGGGAACTTAACTTTTTAATTTACGTTTTGTTGTACAAGCTACAGGTTCTTTGAACGCAGACAAATTCAGTGAAGTTCATTATTTCGTTTAGCTAGCCAGATTATGTGGTGGTATCGTTCGTTCTCATAATCACCGACTGTACTGGATACTCTACTGTTAAAATTTAGAATCCCAATGCGTGTTGCACCACTTTGCCGATTGGGTTCATTCGTACCTCCGATCCTTGTAATTACAGTGTTCATTATAGCAGGGTGTGTCCAATACTTCTGTCTGATTATATCAAAATCAATTAGATATGGTCACATTTCTGACAGAGGCAGGCTCCTCAATTTTCTCAAAGGTCTTTGTGCTTCCTGCTCATACTGAAGCCTGACGCCATCACTCCCAACAGCACCATGACAAGCGTGAAACGGTTTATCATTTGGCAGCGGTTTTGAGAAGTCCATACCATGGACACAACGGACACAGAAATACGAGGGTCCAACATACCCAGGCATAAGCTCACTTGAGTTCATTCAGATGAGCTTATACACATTTTCTTCAGCAGACTTAAGAGGTACCAACTAATATCGAAACTAACATCCAAAGGCCACCTCACATGTGATTAACACACAAATAAAACTTCTGCAACAGCCATACATGAGTAGTAACAAAAATACGGCTTATTCCTTTTATGAGTTTATTGAGCATGTGACAATAAAACAACAAGCGAGCACAATGTTGATATGTTTCCTTTCTGCGAATACACTTGGACTGACTCTAGGACAATGGGAGTAAGCCGGACTGGACCTAATTAACCTGTTCTCAGTACACTACACTAGCACTGGGGATTCAATATCAAATAAAACACATGTCAGAATTACATGTTACATTAATAACATTTCAACTAAAAAGGTTATGATAGAATAATAAAACTGAACATAATGAATGCAATAAGATCCCTGTTCTAACAATGCTGGCATTGTCAAGAAAACAGAGCTCTGAATGTGACACTACTGCGGTAAGCATGATCATAAACTCACTTTGTACAATATAATCTTGAGTCTTTTAGACCAACACATATTACACATCCTGCTGGTGCCTCACAGGAGTGTAGCGAGTCAAATCTCAACATGCCTATGATTTAGTTACATGAGGAATATCTATAGCTGTTCTATAACGTACTTAATCACATGAACATCCCACAGAACAACATTCCTCAAACTCTGCAAACTGAACAAATTATCATGTACATCGTACGCAAAAATATATTTATATATATTCATATGATATACTGTATGTTAGGACATGGGAAGGGCATCATCTTTCAAAAGACTTCAGCAAATGCCCAATATATAAAGAAAATAAAAACAATCTCTCTATGATTTCAACAGAACACTTAAAATCTGAACTTGATTCTAAAATATCACCAAGATAAAACACATGCTACCATTTTGATAGCAATGAAAATATTATTTTTAGTTCTGATACAATCAATTCGAAAACTGACTGCAACCCAAACAATGCAAAAGGACAGCTCCAGCATGAATCAGTTTACCCTAAACCAACAAAGGTCGACGGATATCACTGGTAAATTAGGTAAATTTATTCTTCAACAAATATTCTACTGATCAGAAATTTGGTAACTTCCTTTCAATTAAACAAAGATAATTTGGTTTAGGGAAACATGCATGTAGAGCAGACCTGTAGCATGTACACCATCAAACAATTGCTAAAGGTATCACTGCCTTGAAAGTTTCTAATTCAACGTGACACCATATGTGATAAATCAAGAACAAGGCACTAGGTATTGATTACCTATCACATTAATGGATTAAAAACAGAATAAGTTGTCTATTACTCAAATGACCGATAATATAACGATCAAATGCTTTATGTTAAAGGCAGTCATCATGTCCTGAGATAGTGACCAAACAGATGAAATCTAACAGCAATATGAAACAACAGAATTTCAATTCATTTTCTATAGAAAGTAACCTTTTACAAGGGCATATGGTAATGCCTGTTACTGTTTTATAAGTGTCAATCCTGTCCCCCAACAAAGAACTTTTTTTCAATACCTAAGGTTTGACATCACAGAGGAAAATATTTTCACAAAATGTCAAATGGCCAACAGGAAATGATTTAAATCACTTGCCATTATTGTGTATGGCACTACCAGAATTCTTTACTTATCTGCAGTTTGTGGACAATATGGTTAAGTCGTAAGTTTGAAACGGATAGTACAGTAAGATAGGATTATGCTATTTTACTTGTGTGCAGTTGTATAGACAAGGCACAATCTTAATAATTTTACTTCAAGATCACAGGTACTGTAACAGATGGAGGGGGAATCTCCCACACAAATGCCAAATAAACATTTACTAGGTCTAGCAATGCTGATCAGTCATGGACACACAGTGACATCTACAGTAGTAATAGGACCAAGACATTACAAATGAGTTAGAAAAATAACTAAAAAATGTAATTGCAGTGTTAGATATTTTTGGCATCCTTGGGACCTTGAGTTTTTGGTTATTATTTGTATGTGAATCCCTACAATGTTATTATTTACACTGGGATCATCAAAAAATGGACATCTGTGATGTTGAGAACTAATTTCAAATAAATAAATAGCAACTGATCAGGTGGCACTTGATTGACTGAACAAACAGTATGTTTTTCATTTACGCTTCCATGTGCTGAACAAATATTAGGTCATGACCACTGACTGACTACTGTTACTTGATTGGCTGAAAATAAATTGGTCAGGGTTTGCAATACATTATTGAGCTGAACAATGTTGCTGATATTGTGTTGTCTACTTTTCTGTGCATTTATGATTAAATATGCACTCTGTGATGTATTTATTGTCGACACATCTATTTAAAAAGAACTGGCTTCTATACTGCTATGCAGTGTGCACACCAAACTGAAGTTACACCTTTCTTGCGACTACATGTTAATGAGAAGGCAACCCAAAGACTACATAGCTCAACTGGCTCATCGGAAGTATTGCTGACCCAATTCGGAAGTATGCAAATGGTAAAGTGTATGCATAGACATTGATATTTTAGGAAAATTTTGTGTTTAGTCTTTATCAGGGTGACTGACTGTTACGGACAAATGGTGAACTATTTGATGTCTAGCTTCCTGGTAAGGATGACCTCAGCAGAATATTTTCATAACCAAAATGGCTATCATTACAAATAGACATCAGCTCTTAAGCAGTAAAATAGATTTTACCAATTTGGTTAATATTTTAAAGATTTACAGCCATTTGAAATTCAGCCTATCAACTGACAGCAGGATTGAATTGTCAATTCATACTGAAATGGATATGTAAAAATCACAATGACAGTATGCACAAGTCTGGAAAGCTATGCCTGTTTCATATTATGATACCCTGAATGAAAAAGACATCCCCCACTAATCCCCTGTGGCCAGGAATACAAACACCAAGATTTATCTTGATGTGTCAAGCAGTATGGAGAAGAAAGAAGTACAAGAGAAGAAGGTGAAAATGCAAGTTTATGGCTTCCAAAGTTTGGCTCAGATGAGCCAAATTTCTGGAGTATCCAAATTTCTTTCCATAGTTTCAGTGTAAAAGCTGTAATAAATTTGTGAAGCCAGAAAATGTATTAAGATCCACTGCAATAGATATGGAATACAACTACAGTAAAACTAGTGATATTTGAGAAGCACTATATTGAAAGTAGACACTACTGGGCAACATATTGATAAGTTGATGAAATAAAGTCTTCAACAATAATGAAATGCATTTATTTCATTGCAGTCCTAATGTAACAAGTAATCATGTTCTTAACTAATGTTTCAGAATGTGAGCATTCAGAACTTGCAAGTCCCAGTGTCTGTGTTTGTCATGATATTAAACAAAATCTGGTATAAAGAGGAAAATGTGGAAACCATGTTGCTTCATTAATGGAGGGGATAGTGCTTCCATCTATCACAATATAATTTCATGACTACAATTAGATTTGGTGAATTCTGTTTAACCAATGGATAGTGGTATGCTAAGTATACAGCTCATGTACATTAATTCTCAACTGTCCTGAATTCTGGATCATGCACAAGTCCAGTATAGAAATGATACATCAAAAACATTTTTGCAAATAACCCTACTATTTATGCAATTATTTATAAACATGTTTATTTTAAATGTTTTTATCAATTTAACCTTAAACAAGAAGCTGTCTTTCTTTGACCGTCAGGTGGTAGAGAGGATACTAGTGAGTCAACTGCGCAGACACTGATGGCGTGATTGGGGTGGGACAATCGGAAACTTGCTGTGGAATATCACCAAATACTGACCATCTTGGTATAATATCGTAACAATATAAGGCTTTAAGAAGTCTCGTACCATTCATTCCATTGATAGACACAAAGACAAAAGACACTTTCCATATTATGTTCATTTACCTTACTCATTTTGAATGGCAAAATGACCTAGCACTGCATTTTCTACATCAAAACAAAAACGACAAATCATTAACAACTAATAATAAATTTAACTAGTGAATGTGTGATAAGGGTAGAAAAGCCTGGCTATTCCTCTCAGGTTAAATAACAAAACTATATAAATATATACTCACACCTCATTCAAACACTCAAACATCACAGGTTGGGATACTCAGTCATGGAGCTGATCCACCATTTAAACAATTATAGCTATGAGTTAAGAACAAGAAGTCAGAAAATCAACTCACTTTAAAAATGTACACCTTATATACACTGATATACAACAGACAAATCAACAAACAACGTTTTCTTGTATTCATTAATGAGAGAGAAAGGAGAAGAGTCAATAATTTTCCTGAGAAATATCTGAACCTATCTGCATTTAACTTAACACTGGCTTGGACATACATATCAAAGAAAGAATGTCCTTACAAACCTAGTAGACTCATCATCTATACTTATCAGATGTGTCCACTCATCAGAAATCTTTCCCCTTCCCCTACTTGATTAACTGTTAATTCACTACTGGAAGAGCACCAGACCTAGACAATATATCAGTGTCATGAGAGAGTGACAGACTGACACTGCAGGTGACCCCTTTGTCCTACAGCTACATTATCTTTGGAGACACCAAGTACCAGCTGTAACTTTGCTGTCTTCAAGATGATAAAGAAAGCTCATTTTGTGGTAAAAATAAGAATGGCCCTAAAGCCACCGAACATGTCTAACAGAACTTGAAATACTAACTTCAGAGCACCTATGCAGTTAGATATCCAGTGTTAAGTCAATTGCTTCAGGTACAGCTGACCTCAGTTGCAACAGGTAATCGTGGAAGCAGGTAAAAACTCTGCACACTAAATCAATTGAGCATCAAAATGTCATAATGTTGAATTCAGCAAAAGCAACTTCCAATTTGATCCTTCCAAATGTCAAAAATATATTATAATGCGGATAATTTCATTTTCCCTCTGATCCAACAAAACTGGCAAATAATGCTCAACTATTTGAAATGTCACCTGTTATACTAGTTGACTTCATTATGCGCAATGAGTAAAAGGTACACTGATTTCCAAGGGCGCACCTTTGTTGATGTCACATTTGAGTGACAACAATGAGGTATTATGGTTAAAATCCTTAATTCTAAGGAATTAACCTTCTTTCAAAATTACATCTGATTAAATGTTTGGCAACTATTACAACAATCATATATGAGTGAATATTTGTAATTATGATCGCTTTTGAACGACACAAAATCCTCCAGGTCATATTATTTCTCTTGGCACAAGTCTCTTGTATTGCTAAATGCTATAAACTTAGTAACATTAGAGAAACATTCCTTCATGCACATGTTGACATGGCCCTATTTTCTGAGCCTGGCTTGTCACCTTCATAAATGGTTTTGAGATAACAGAACTGATGCTCAGTCAAAACATTCAATGAAAAATGAAAAAAACTTTGAAAACACTGATAATGGAAACCAATTTTTTAACGTTCTGGGAAAGAAATTATAACAAGAATCTCAGTCAAAGTTTACCCCATCCACTAAATATTTAGAAATAATCCCCTGCTTTCAAAACATAACAACTTTCAAAAGCTTAGACTCTTCTGTGATTCACAATAATATTAGTAAAAATCCATTGACACTTTAAACAATAAAAGTCTGTATAGGCAGGAATGTTCCTCCATAAGAGACAGGTTTACTATCACATCCAATTTTTCCATCCAGCAAGTGGCATCCCTGTTATAATTCAGGACATCGACAGACAGCACTATATAAGACACCAATGCAACAAACACTTGGTTGCTTAAAATTTGTACATGTAACAAAGTATGTATACACTGAATGCAGACTTTCATAAATTATCAACAAGCATCAACCATATCACAAACTGTTTCAATACTACTTCAAATTGTGATTCTTTAACATGCCTAATTTCAACAGAAATGTATTTTTACTACCTTTGGCAGTTTCATGCCATTGAGTTATCTCATACTGGCTTGATTGGCAGCCTTGTACAACAAACCAATTTGTTTAAAAGATGTATTACAAAAACTGACTTCCTATCTTAATAATTAAGTATCGAATCTTTGCAATACATGCAAAATGTCTTTTACTCTTGGTTACAAATGAACACATACTTCAACTGACTGTGTACAGACAGGTTCTTGTTTCAACACAGTGAACATTCACATATATTTCAAATGAAAGTGGGAATCTACATGATGCTATGAACATTCTCATTTCTGAATAGGGAAGTTGGCTGGAGCAATGATGAACAAGATCCACTAAATGTCTCATCTCTAAGACAAACTACTGGCAAATGAAACAAGAAATTCATCAAATATATAAATTAGATGTCAACCACAATATTATGAAGGTGATCAGTTCATTATGAAAAATGTGTGAATCGTCTGGATGCCACATCCCAATTCTGTTGACACATGAATGAAGGTGTTCTTAGTCACTGGCAGAAGTATGTACATTGTCTAGTTTATAGGGAAATAGTATATCCTGTAAAATAGCCACCTTCAGCTATTACACGAGGTAAACACTGCATTAGGCCTGGCTCTTGACAACACTTGATACAGAAGTCATGGCCTGTATTTCTCAACATTACTGTATCTTGACACCCAAAGGGAACAGTCCTTGTGTACTTGTTTCATATGTAATCCAAACATGCACTAAATATACATGTCATACAACCGTAAGTGCATTCATAGTGCATGTAATCTATGAATGTATGTTGATTTGACATTTGTAGCAGTAGAAGTTGGTTTCTTGTATGTATCCACCTGTAATATCAGTCTCATGACCGACAACCTCCCTGATCTCCAAATGTCTCTGCTTGCCTGCTAGCAAACAGGCATGCTGCCCTATATAGCTACCATTGCCTCACCATCCTTGTGCCACAGAATCCATACTGGTTTCACATTAGCCATGGTTCCTCATACATTGTCACATCACAATACATCACATCACATAAGTACAGCACTAAGATGTTATAACGCCACCATGAGTATCATCAAACAGTATTCTTATTTGTGGCTGGAGGAACATTGGCACTCCCATCAAAGTTAAAGTCTAATTTGCCTTCTAGAGACAACTCTTGTTTAATGATCTGATCAAGATCACAGTCCAATCCAAATATCAAGTTTTCTATATCTATATCAATAGGTACATCTCCTTCCACAGGTCCAGTGTTCATGTTGCCAGAGCCTGTGTTTGGAAAGCTTCCCGACTGTAAATTTGTTTGGCTTCTCTGGTTGTTAATCTGCTGGCCAAGCTGAGTAGCGAGGACCTCATCCATGTTGGAGTCTTGACTCTCCATATTGTTACATGTGGTTGAAACTGGGCCATTCAATTGGGCACGGGAGTAAGGCATGTTCATCTGTGAGAACTGTGAGTGACTGGCAGTCGTGGTGGGCAGGGTGTAACTCATGGCTGCCCCTCCCTGTGTGAGGGCTGCTCGCAGGATGGAGTCATTGGAAGTTTGGAGCTGCTGTTGCAGCACCGTCCGGGGCTGGGCAGTTGCTGAGCCAGATGCTGGGGATCCTGGAGCCTGCTGAGGAGACATCTGCTGCGGCTGTGGGGAGAGCTGGCGCGGTTGACCTGGGTGGGGCTGAGGGGAAACACTTGGACTGAACCCATTCCCATATCCAATTGGGCTGGCCTGTTGTGGAGATCGAGAAGGTGATGTCATCTGAGGCTGTGTGTTGATGGTCAGCTGATTGGTTGTGTTTAGTTGGGCTGCCAAGTCCTGGCTCATGCCAGAATCCTGCTGGTACAAATCTTGCTGCCTGAACAGATTCTGTCGTAAACCCAAGTTGTTGAAACGACTGTTAGAGATGGCTACACTCCAGGTTGCTCATCACTGTTTGAGGCACAGGCTGCTGGGCAGGGGATTGAGTGTTGCGTTGCAATGACTCAGGGTAAGGTGGTGGGGCTGGGAGGTTACCAAACTGACCACTGAAACTTCCATTTTGACTATAATTTGAATTTTGATTGAAATCAGACATAGTCAAATCATTGTTAGAACCATTCTGCATGAATTGTTCTTGCAACCCATTCCCTACCAAATCTAAACTTTCAGAACCTGTCAAACCTATGTTATTTGGTTCTGCTAGTTTCATACTGTCCACTAGAGTGTCCACTAACTGATCTGTAAATCCATCAGAACTATAACAGAAATTCCCTGAATCCACTTCAGGTCCCCATGGTATAGGAGACATTGGGGGTACCTGGTTATCATGTAAATCTGGTTCTACAGCAGCCTGAATGGGAGAGAGCCGGCCACAGCTACTAGCATTAGAACTAGCTCGTGGTCGAAAGTCAAAGCCAAAGGTTGTATCTAAAAAGTCCTCTGAAGCTGATGATGGACTGCCACCAGCTTCTAAAGCAGCTCTTAGAGCTTCCACTTTCTTCTTAACACGACCACGCTTCTTTTCATAGTTTTTGGTTTCCATGCTACCTGCCCTCCGTCTGGGAGTCTTCCCTGGCTTGGCATCTGGGTTGATAACCCACCAAGAACTCTTGCCTGTTCCTTCATTCTGAATACGCATGAAGCGACTGTGCAAGGACAAGTTATGCCGAATCGAATTCTGGAAAACAAAGCATACAAAATGTAAGTTAAATTACAAATGCAAGTAACAATGAAAACATTGAATGGATGCAACGATATCTAAATGTTATTTTTACTTTTGAAGTCTTGCACATCTTGCAGTCTGCAACAGAAACAGTTGGTCAATAAATATAACCATGATTTATCTAGGACTCAAAACATGTTAACCACATGGCCTTTGACAGGCAAATTTGGGAAAACACAGGACACTGGTCAAAATTTGATTTGTAATAATGTTCTTGCTTTCATAACTCCTGTGAAAATTAACAAAATTCATATTTGAAATGATAATTTTTATTACTCTTTGAGGCAGTCTTGGGGTTGAATATCGGTCTCGGACCAGGCCTACATAAATCCCACTGTATACAATAATTATATGTCTTATCATTATACAGTTTCTACTTTTTCATGATAATAGATCTTTACACCTTTGCAACATTAATTCCTTCAAAAGAATCAAACACCTCCTTATTTCATTTGAACAAATACCCATTAATCATAAATCCAAGGACGTCCTCTGTCATACTGATCTTTATGCATCATTGATATTAAATTATTCTTTTTATGTTATTTACATAAAGAATATCCTGATCTCATATCCTGTTAATGAAAATTAGTTACATAACCATGAAATGTATACTTAGTGTAACTACTGAGTTGTCATGCAGATAATAGGAGATAAAAAGTTATAAAAAGTTGTCAAAATACTCATGACCAACTGTTGTCTGTCATACAGATCCTGAAACAAATATATCCATGCAAGTCAATATGTGGCAAGTCTACATTACCACACTTTCAGGAAGAAAGTCTCTGGACTCCTTTTCATTATATTTTATGATTATTTGTTATGAACAGTTTTTTTCTGTAAAATATGACCAACTGATGCTTGTTGGCGTACGTTCATGTTTGACACCTCACACACCTAGGCAACCCTTCAGTTTGTTTGTTGTTTAATGCCTCACTCAGCAGTTTTCCAGCTATATGACAACAGTCTGTAAATAATCAAGTCTGGACCAAACAATCCAGTGCTTGATGTCATGAGCATCGTTTTATTTAGCTGGCATACCATGGCATACATAAACCAAGTCACTGAGCCTGACCAACCGATCCCAGTAGTTGGCTCTTATGACAAGCATGGGTTGCTGAAGACCACTTTTAACCTCCGTTGACCCTCCAGTACGCTGAGTATATATCTCAGAGTACTTAGTTTGTTGAAAAAGACAACTGCTACTAACTGTCAAAATACAAAAATTTATAAAAGTAGAAAATTATTGCTACTTTTCACTCAAGATAGGAAAATGAAAATATTGAATAAAAAAAACCTTAAACACATTTTTAATTATGGTCAAGGCAGGAAAGTAGATGTTCAGAAACATGAATGATAACGTAACAAAACATGTCATACTTCCTCTTCAGCTTTGAGTGAACGCTGTAAAAGTACACAGCTATTTCATGAGACTCTGTTTCCCTTTATTGGCCCAGTGCCAGCTCACAGCATGAATATTCAACTTTATTCTCTTCCTCCTCCCTTGCCCAGCAATACTATAAGCCTTCAACGGCCGCTCGGACAACAGTGGCCAAAGCGAGCATTCTATGGTCAATGAACATTTGCATTTCTCACACATCTATATACTGGAATAACAATATGCATCAGTAATGTCAATACCAAATGTTCATTCCTAGAAAGTGGGTTAATAACGCTGACCCAAGCCTGCTACAATGTCAGCCTATATATAGCAGCCTGACTGGGAGTGCTCTCAAACCAGTATATGTGTGCTAACACTCAGCTCCACACAGGGAGCAGTACAGCAGGGTCATTCACAATGTACAAGAGGTACTGAATCTCTTGTGCAATTATATAATACAACCATAAAAGACATGTGTGAAAATCAATGCCAGTCTGTCCTTACAGATTTCTCTTTACATTTCTTTCATAACAATTTCTATCAGCTGTCATTTGTGGTTTAACACAGACTACTGACACCAAAAACATTGTACATGAGCAACCACAACAGGTTGTTGGTGATCAACAGGTGTAGGATCTCTTCAAGATGCATCATTCATATCCAAAAACCTCTCGGGTTTCTAAACAATATCAAATACCATGGAAATGTGATTGGATATGTAACAACAATACATGCATTTAACTTCTCTAAAACAGAACCTTTGTGAGTTGTGGATATATATTTCTCAAAAATGTGTGATTCCTTTGAAGGATTTTATAGCATGATGTATGTCCTTCAGAATAACCTTAGAAGTAGATGCATTAATGTTGACTGGCTTATGTCCCAGCAAGATTGATTGATGTCGCTAACCCAGACAATGGCACCTACAGCTGTTACTGAAGACTTGTTTCTTTTTCCTCAGCAGTGTGTACGTGTCCGGTACTGGAAGCTACTTCGCTACTTGTCATGAAACAACCCCTTTGGTGCATGTTATAAGTTGTTCATCAACATTAAAGTATTGGGGAGCTGAGAGGTATTTAGCCATGATAAAGAAACTGATCAAAGTCGCGATATTGAAACTATGAAAAGACCTACTCCATGGCCTTCCCAGCATGCCTTTCACATAGGTAAACTGCCTTCAGCAAAAATGCTTGAGTTCACATAAATCTAGTATCTCTCAATTCACACTTCAGAAAATGCTAAGAATTTGTCACAAGAGCTAAAAGATAAAAATGAGGGATTATAGCATTTCTATCAAGTCAATAAAAGAAATGTCCACATGGCGTAAACTGACATGTAGGATAGATGTGTCTAAATCTTATATTGCATAATGCACCTAAAGAAAATATGTCCTTTTTCATTCAATGTTCATAGGAAATAGTAAAACTTTGGGACAACTACTTGCGGTTTGAGTATAAGATTTTGGTGATACATGTATCAACTTCTTTATTTGTTAACTACAATGTTTCAGTGTTAAATATAACTCCTTCTTCAGGATAACTTCATGTCTTAACAAATAATGAAGTTGATATCCAAAACATCTTTTGTTAATGTTCATCACTTCTAATTGTCCTTCAAAGAACATGTGGTTTATTGCATTAGCGATGTTTTGGTGTAGCTTCTTATACTGTTCTCATGCTTGAATGATACTGACAAGTAGACATCTTATTATTTGTTTGAATGGCATTCCAGAAGGTGGTGTGTAACTGAGAAAATATATTTTATCGATAACATTTTCAGGTTATTTAAACCGGAAGTTCCTCCACAATGACATACATTTTGTTATTTACTCAACTTCTAGAAATGCCAATCAAAGCATTTCACTGTGTTGAATATATACACTGTGTCAGCAGTCAAATGTGGATGTTTAGAGGCCACTCACATACACAATTGTTCTACTTTATATGAGTTTTTTTGTAATGAGATTACTCACTTCTGAAGAAAATAATGTAAACTTGTCGAAATTAGTACTTGCATTGGATATGAAGAATTATCTGTTTAATTGGCATTATAGAAGCTGATGAGTAATAAAGTATCCCACCTTTTTGATATTTTGTACATTGTAATTCTTACACTTTTGCAGGTTTGATAAATTTCCTTCAGTAGCTACACCATGTAAAACAGTACTGATGTTGTGAATTGTCTCACAGAATGTTTTTAGAAGAAAAATCAATTTATTATTTTTTGTGTAATTTATGAACAAAGTTTGGACAAACTGAGCTGGATATGACAAGTGGAGTATCTTTAGAGCCAAAGTAACTGTAATTTAAACTACAGTGTGTTTAATAAAAATGAAGAAAAAAGTATTCTTACAAAACCATACACTTACATTAAAATATATATAAACGTGCTTGTAAGTACCAAATTTTTAACAACTGAGGGCAATCCAAGAATCACTCATGAGCGCACATATCATGATGAATACTCAAACAGTGTTTGGAATACAGCAGAGTAGAGGGGTCACTGAGGTTTATGGTCATACAGCATATTATTACCACTGACAAGATCAAATTACTGCCCTTTTAAATAATCATTTGGTGAATTTAAATGCAAGATTAACTGTAGTCAAGAACAACTTCATTTTGATACTTAGTAAATAAGACAGCTATCAGTAATATTTGCAGACAGATTAGGGTAAGTGTTTTGCTGGAGTGGAGTGAACTGTACTCTGTGACTTCTGTGGGAGTGTCTCCTATTCCTGCCTAGTAGCACTTCTCACCTTGCCTGTCCCTAACGCTGGAATGAGGACAAAAACATAACAAATATGCCAAATATCCACATGCATCTGGCAAAATTGGTTTTTCTCTTTCACCATTGTTTTTGCAAAATGACAAAGGATTTAACTTCAGTTTTACATAAAACTTGTATGCTTTCCAAAACATTCAGTTACTTATTTCAGCATGTTTAAAAAAACAATGAGACTTCTTTGACTTTGTGAAAATAATCAAGTCCTTTTGTCATAATATTGTTTTCATGTATACAAATAGAATGACAAATGAAGCCAACACAATGAAAGCATTATTCACATTCCGCACCATACTCTCATTCTTAAAAAGGAAAAGAAATTCGGTGAAATTGATTAGCACATGTCCTAACTAGTATAATATAGTTGCTAACTTTCACTGAGAAATATGGAAGGGTTTGACACCAGTATAAAACATTACCCTAATATGAACTAACTGCTTTGGACAGAAAACAATGCAACAAAATACATCAGAGGTGCTGCTTCTGAGAATACTGGTTTCCAGTTGGGTATAGTGCAGGTACTTAGCCACTAGTCACGGGAAATAACACATTAATATATAAATAACCACTGCCGGATTTTGATCCCTATCAACATCATTCTCTTAACACTATCTTTATATTCTTTACAGATAAATAAAAACACATTAACACGCCACTAGTAACATCTGAATAAGCCTAAATCTACTTCTTACATTGCACTTTGTGGAAGTGGATGATAACTATTCTTTTTGGTGACATAAATTCCTTTGAACTACATACACTCTGATGAAAGTCGTACTACTTTTGAGTGACTCTTGTGGGGAAGTAATTGTTGAAGCATTACAGGAAACTCTTTCACTCCAATAGAAATTCATTAGTCTTATAGCTACACACTTTAAACAGGAACAGCTACAAACATTACAAACAAGACACAATCCCAGTAACATCTGCATCACAACCATACAATCCTCCACATTCTTAAAGGAACCAAACACAGTAAATCAAACGTGTGTATGCTTTCAGTTTATCCCGGTCTCCACTGACAATAATGGCAGGTATTAATCATGATGCAATGTGTACTGCAACAGTCAGTAATTTGTGGGATCATATTCCATAGTTTGGTTGTTCTCTACTGGTTTTCTTCAACAGGCCTGTAGAGGATGTTTTTCTGATCTGTCAACTTTACATTTTTTTTAATAAAGATTCAGTCAGGTTAACATCTCTGATTCCAAAATTTCAGAGATGGCATCCTAAAGTTTAGAGTTGACTAAGTTCTGTAAATGGAATTGATGATGGTCCCAGGCTACGATCTCACCCATGCCTTGGTGAACAGTGATGGGAAACATTAATTCCAATGATAATAATTCTTTTAATGTAGTTCAATATGCTACAAGGGGAGACCCAGAAAAACAACCAAAGATATATATACTTAATTAAGTGAGTCAATTAACTTGAAAATATATGTACATACATGTAATTAAAGACAAATGAGACTTCATACAATTAATTATTATACTACAGTTGCCACCGACACATGCATAGCCAACTGATACAATATATATATATAAATATGCATGTACAAAGGCACAGTACTATGGAGCACTCAGATGTACTCACTGTTCTACCTACAGAGTGTGTACACACCTCTGAAGTAGCCATGACCTCAGGGGAAACAAGCTACTTTCCAACATCTATTATAAATTATTATTATTCTCGAAGTAAAAGGAAAAGAGGTCAGGTGTTAGATCAAAGTTGAGTCAAAGGGAATGCTGTGAATTATGTATGATATTAAATCACTGGAGTGCAACGAAAGTATATCGGGCATGCTTGAGTGATTCAACATGTTCATGACCTGGCAAAATACCCTGCCAGCGCCATATTCTATACATTAAAATAAGTAATCAATTTCATTCAATTCCTGAAGGAAAAGAAACTTTCATTACTGTTTGGATGATCAAGAAACAGTTTTGATATTTAATATCTAATACAAACTTAAAACATATGCTGGAAACTACTGTTAACAAACTCAAAGATACAACTAAATTTAGTCAGTTATAACCATAGTTTGTATTTCACATTTCAACTAAATTATACAAGAGGCAATGACCAAAAAAGAAGTTTGTTATATCTTTCAGTTCATTATAAGTATGCTTGTTAAGAACATAGTTTATAGTATTTTAGAGAATCACAAATCGAAGGCTCTTTCATCATACAAACTGTAAAAAAATAAATAAATTGTACCATATAACACGTAATATTTGGGGTTACACTTTCTCAGTAAAGTACAGATTCTAGTAATCTTGGGAGTCCCAGTGAGGATTTGAACCCACTCTCTGAGTGAGTCACCTAATCGCCAGCACTAAAAGCACCGCCTAGTGTCCTTGTCATAATATTATCATAGCTCCATAAACAAAGTTTTCAAGTATCTTTGAAAAAAATGGAACAGATACCCTTGTCAAACATCCAATACCTGAATTACAGTTTCTCAGCAAAAGACATTTAACAGTACCATCAAGTGTTTGTAACAAGAACAGTCCTCAACAGGTTCTGTATCATGTCCCACACATGAAAACAATTAAAATTAGGTGGTCACCTCAATTCATATACGGTAACAGCAACCTTCAATTAACTCACATTTCAATTACTACACTGCCATCCATATGAATAAAAATATATAAAAATATATTTTAAAAACATATAAGGTTTCATCCAGTTATTGAATATGAATCTAATTTGAACTACTAAATGAAGAAATAATTTTACAGGAATCTGTTACCATAACATTGGAATTCACAGCTGTGGTACAAATGGAATGACTCATTCGAACAAGTTTGCGTTCCGAAAAACTATCATATTACATATTGTATAAATGTAGGTTAAACCTGCCAGTAGTTGAGTGAAAGGTGGGAAAAAATGGATGTCAACAACCCTTATATTTCAGTTCATAATTCTGACACATGTTCATCAAGCTATCATGCTTTCACATGTTATATCTTCGACAAACAACAAAGTGTTGGACAACTTGACACAATAAGTGTTTCTAACTGTTAGCCTATGTAATGTTTGCTTACAATTACTACATTGTATACATTGGGCACCCACGTGACTTATTCACGCTAATGTTTGTAAACAAAGAGATGGGAATTTCCATGTTAGCTTCACAAGCGGAGAGATCCCGTTAGCCCGTGTTGTTCATGTAACGAATTGTTAACGCAACTGAAATCACACATTAATTACAATCTGTCACGGCTAATTAACGGGCAGTGTTGCAGGTGACGATCATGACAGTCTGAACGCATTATCTCCAACGACTTGATCAGAGTAACCGATGTGATATAATCGGTTGATTAATGAGTGTGACAAACGATCAATTATAAACTCAAGAGGTGTCTTTACAAAGGGAAGAGTTAATTTTAGCGTTTGAGGAGACCTACAGCGAGCGAGGGGCGTTCTCTCCAAACATTCTACTCACGTAAACTCGTGTCCTGCAAGACGTGACCTTTAACATAATACGGAACCTGAAAAGTGACGCACATCCCCCAAATCGGAAGTAGTGGTGACAGAATGCACGCTACTGTTGTTTTAGTATATACGACTATAACTGTCAACCCGACATTTTCATAATATACAGATATATAAGTCACTGGCCTCTATGCAAACCTTCACAACCGTACGTTAGCTAATTAGGTCGGATAATATTGCACATAAAACTAACCTTCCAGCCAGCTGAGCTCGTACTGTCGCCTTTATCTTTGAAATAAGGAACATTTTGTACCATCCAGTCGTATATTTGAGATAGAGTCAAACGCTTTTCAGGTGAACTTTGGATAGCTTTCGTTATCAAATCCGCATATGATAAGTTTCCCCACGCATTTCGTCTTGACCCACTCTTTTTAGTGTTTAATCCGAGTGGATCTTTCTCCTTGTGATTTTCAGTGGAAGAATCCTCTGACACGGGGCTATTCTGGGCATCAAGAATCTCCCGATTCGGTCGCAGAGGCCAGGTGTTAGATCTTGCCCTAGTTTGAGGCTCAAAATTAGGATCTATGTCTGCAGCGTCCATCTTGCGTTTTGCAAATGAACGTAACACTTAATATCTAGAACACACCGTGGTATTCGTCCTCAGCCCACATATTCCACACTTCAGACAAAGTTAAACATCCATAGGCTCACGTAATGGAGCTGCCAACAGTCACTGACACTCCAATCTGCGATGTAATATGGTATCCTAATGCTGGCTAGTGAGCTATCATCCAACATACCATACGGCCATTACTTTACTCTACTACCTCGCTCCAGATCTTGGGGAGACCTGATGACGTATTTGTTGTCACGGGTGATTTGCATACATGTGGTGGTGATATCATGCGCATGTGCGCAGTCGGTATCTGCGCAGACGGGAAACTTCCTCGCTCCGAGCTCGTCCTAGTTTCTCTCGCAGCTAACGTGACATTGGCAAATCATAACAGTAAGTTGGCGCGTGTTGCACGCACAGATTTATGCCGCCAAAAATGTGTAAACGTTATTGGCCGTGTGCTGCTAGGGGAAAGGATTTCTTATATTCACTCGTGATAGTCCTTGAGGCTTTCACAATAAGAAAAAAAAAAAAAACTTGTTGCACCCAGACTTAGTACCTTTTGCAGTAAATATTATGTTAATGAAGAAGCATCTACCAAACTGCGGAAGAACAGATATTTTTTTAACAAAGATACGGTAAATGCACAATAAATTATAAGATTAAGTTCAAAGATTAATCAAGGTTCATATTTGTACCAACAGCATACACAAGTGAGTGAGTTATATTATCTTAAGCGGTGTCAGCAATATTTCAGACATAATGCGACTTGAACAATTTAAACGTAAATATTACTTTAAAAAACGTCCAACAAAGGACAGAAAAACAACCAGTAGTTTATCACAGAATTTAAAACTAGTTTAAATACTCGTAACAAGTTAACGACATATATGTATCGATCTACAACCCTACGGAACCGTAGACTATAAATCACCAGGAAACTACATAAATAATGTCATTAAAATAACCAGCATATGTGTAAATTCTTTAAAAAGTGCGTTCTTGGGTTATTTCAGGGGTTGTTAATTAAAACTACAAATGCACTGCGATTTAAATAACACATATATGACGAAACTGATTTAAAAGACGTACATATGAATATGGTCAAAGATATTGAATTAGGGCAGCCTATCAGACACATTCAAGTGTTACAAAAACAATAAATTACATGAGTAAATAAGAATAATTATAACGTAGCGCATGCACATTGTGTCCTCTGAATTGTCATATTTGGGATGACAATGATTTCTTTTCCTGCAGTTAAACTTCGTTCCGCCGGGGAAAAAAACAACAACTAAAAAAAGAAAAAGAAAAGAAAAAAAAAACACTACCAGGCTACAAAAAAGGTCTTGCAACGGTCACATGCACCTACAGCCCATGTATATTCAACCAAAATGCCCTTGTTGTCGGACCTTTGACAATGTGACCTTGTACAAGCACATTATTAGTGATATAAATACAACATAGTTGTGAACATGTATTGCTGTCAATATCACCTTTCAATGATGAATACGGCATTGGTCCTGGATCCAGGATTGGACAGTTCGTGAAATGAATATATTTTGTTGTCTTCTGTTATCTCAGTCATGATATTTACTTATTTTTAGAACTGAAGAAAGCAAATCTATTTTAGATATTTCAAAAGGTAGGAATCACTAACGGCAAATTGCGTACTACCAAAAACCACCAAACAAGTCATATCAAAATGTATCCAACATTCCGGCCGTAATTACATGTAATAAATTACATTTCATTCCTCTTTTGTTTTGTTGCTGTTTGTCATGATGAAAACATATTTAATAAATAATTATACATAAAGGTTAACTGCCAGGCAAATGAAAGTATACAGTTATGTAGCTAAACATGAATCAAACACGGAATGGTTATTCGATGGTGATGTATTTAGTTAAGTTTTGGACCTTACGTTTGCAGTTTTAGGGGACTGTTTTGAGAAAGTTAACATCTTGATAAGGTTTTTATATTTGGGTACATCGCATTTTCAAGTGAATACTATTTAGGACGCAGTTAATATACTCATGCCAATAATGGGTGTCACCCCCTCCCACCCCAACCCCCTCCAATTAAAATTGAAGGGGGTGACAACCATTATTGGCACGAGTATAGAAACGCGATCCCCAGTTTCAGAAGGGCATACGGGTGATAGCGTCTGCCTACATAAGTGCCCGTACGTCTTAGATCTATTTTACACAATAACAATAATGTTCAAGATGTACATAGCAAGGTAAGCTGATTTGATGCTCATCTGATACAGTTTTGCTTCCTTCTGTTACAAGATCGTCTTGTTGAAACACACGTACAGACAGGCAGTACTGGATGGGTGATGTCTCTGACAGAAATGAACTGAAGATTATACGTTTGCTTCATATAATACAAACACACACACACACACCACGCTTTACAAATTTATTGACCAGTAAACCTTCGACGTTAACACTGCACGCAACAATATATCAGCTACATGATGGAGGTATGCAAATATTAAAATCTGGACCAGACAATATAGTCATCAACATCATGAGCATTGAACATAATTAGGATGCCAGCCTGAAAGTATCATCATAGTGAAGAGCATTTTCTACAAATGTTTCTATAGTTATTAGATCTACTTAAAACAACACTGAAAAAAGTCTATTGTGTAAACAATGATAATGAGGACTTACATACTCTCTCAGACAGTAGTAAGAGCTGGTATATTTCTTAAAATGTAAGATACAGCACTTCTATCTTCAAAGTCATCTCAATTACACATTGCATAATCAAATTTTGAAATTGCATTTGTTTACAGTTATTGTTTGTTTATTCAATCTGTATATTAATGACACATTGCCAGATCCTCAAATATACCATATAGATCATAGAGATTGATAACGTTAAATACATATCAATCAATTATTGATAAATATTGCAAGAGTAACTCTGTGGAAAATGAAAAAAACCCTGAAAAACATAATTCATACATCACTAGTGAGTGAGTGAAGTTTTACACTGCTTTTAGCAATATTCCAATAATATCATGGCAGGGACACCAGAAATGGGCTTCACACATTGTACCCATGTCGTGAATTGAACCCAAGTCTTCCGTGTGACAAGAAAACTCTTTAACCACTGGGCTACCCCACTGCCCCATATATCACTAGTGAGTGGCGACACATTATTGCATGGATTACTAATAAAAACAGGGATCCAATCAAAATTGAGAAGCAGCCAATGAAGAAAGACATAATTGGAAATTCAAAACTTTAGTTCATCACAATAGTTTTTGTGACATAATTAGAATATTGATAATAGTTAATGATATTTGCCAATTCACAATATTTCTGTTATCAATATTTCTAGCAGACCCTATATGAACCAATACTCACCGATATGTTTGATCTACCTGTGGAATTAAGTGCTGAACTTGTCTTGATGTAGTAGTGATGACAAATCACAAGACAGTGAAAGGAGTTCAATCAGGAGCTGAGTTCTAACATCATTGTTGAATTGGAACTCCCTACCCTCATTACTGTAAGACAAGTGAACAACTGATGCCTTTAATTCCTACTTTTATTTATAAGTTATGATGTCAATAGTTCTCCAAAATGTTATGTTTTTAAGACATGAAAGTAAGGGGCCGTTCATAATTTATGGCCGGGGAGGAAGAGATGAATGGAGAAGCATGTACAAATGAATTAAACCCCCAATTTATGTACAAAGTAAGTGACACCCCCTGCATGTCACAAAATCAATGACCCCCTCCAATATTTTTAAGCATAATTTTAAATATTATTATGAACAAATTTGCTGACCCCCTAGAAACGAGTACAAAATTGATGACCCCTACCCCAGAACCTCCCCAGAACACACATGGGTGACACCACCCCCACACACATCATCACCCCCATATAAATTATGAACGGTCCCTAATAACAGCCAAGACTGTGAACATCTTAGCACAAGGAATAGAAAACAATAACTGAAAGTTGGGGATAACACAACCACATATCTTTTCCAGGATATGTCTATGAAATGATGAAGTTCAACAAAAGCTACATGCTCTCTTTGACATTCTCAAATTGTCTCTTTGGTTTGAAGCTATGTAATGTGATATTTAAGTATGAAATGCCTAGTGGATTTGATTATCACCCCTAAAAGAGTAAATTCAGTTGTAACTTGAATCCTAGGTGTAGGAACACCCTGCCCTGTCAAACTTACTGCACATCCAATACATCTGTGGTCGATTTCAAGGTCACATCTGCAGCATAGTAAAAGTGGGAGAAGATTTATAGGAAGTAAAACTACAGCTGTGTATGTTTCCAAAACAAAATGGCATAATTTCTCAAAGAGAAGGTTGTACACAACTAAGACTTAGGACATAACATAACAATACAGAATTGAAACTTTGCGAAAAGTTCAGGTCTTCTGATTCTAGTTTTCAGTAGATCAGTGTTGAACTTGTTTCTACAGGAGGCTTGTTTTTGATAAAGTATGTGTCAATGGCCATACAAAATCCAAGAAAGCAAAGGCATAATTAGGGAATTTTTCGAACTGGTTTGCAATAAGGGATCATTAACAGTGCTTATCTGTTTACACAACATAATTTACACTGAATGTACTGACTAACCTTGCTCCTCCAATTCTGTCAGTAAATCTCCATCCTATAGAAGAAATACACATGTGTAAGGCCACAAGTCCTTTCAGATTCTTCAGTTTCTCTTTAGATAAAGATATCATAAATCATCAATATTTTTCAAATTTGTAAATGAAAATGAAGAGTTTCTGATATTTTTAACTGAAACATCAACCAGAATGGAAGCTATCTATCCCAAACTCTACTTTCTTAAATGAATGTCTAGGTTTGACAATTTGCCCTTCCCAGAGATAAATCAGTATTCACGCTTGCATACATTTCGTTATCATTAAAAATAACAATATCTAATAAACATTAATAATGAATATGTGAAAGAATGTACCTGGTACCCATGACCATGAAATGTTGAATTAACAATTTGTCGTACATGGATCTGTTGCTCAGAAAACATAATTTGCATAGATGTTGTAAAGTCCTTGACATGATGCTCCAGCTTTTCTCTGAAAAACTTTTCTGAAAACATAAAGACACACTATCAGATTCATCAAATGGAAAACTCCTACAATGATATTGTCGGTTTTCTATGAGAGAAAGTTAAGACAAATGACATATTTGCACACTTCTTCAAACACATCTATCCTTGATATTCCAGTGTTAAAAATATACAAGGGCATCCTTGAGTCCTCAAGGTTTGCTTCAATACTATATTAATTTCGACGCCCAGAAAAACTAGGACTTTTCATGTTATGCTGAGTAAGGACGCCTGACTTTCTTGAGTAATTTCTAAAGAAATTAATATCATAAAATAATGAAAACAATTTTATTATTATGAGAACCTGTGTGACATTAAGCAATTAGAAGGTGTCAGTTCCTCTGGGAGAGAATGAATATCTTCCCATGGGGAGCCCTAGAAGAAAAAAACACAAAACAATTGTAGAGCACTGAATTTGTCAAATGTCATACCAAAGTGATAGAGAAGGTCCTCCACTTCATCCAATCCTTGCATGCTGTCATCTTCATTGTAGCTCCAATCTATGATAGGCTCAGATGGAGAGTCCTCACAGCTCACATCCTTTGAGACACCTTGAGGATTCTGTCTCCAGGATTTGTCAGAACCATCCTCTTGAAGACAACTACTGTCATGGCTAGAGTAGCCTGTATCATTGTCAAGCTCAGCATCACAGGAGGAATTCATAACCTCACTGATTTCTGGAACTTCATGAAGATCAGCTAAAAGAGATGACTGTTTCTGAAAATGACATTATTTAAAGCACATTAGACTGAGGGCAAGAATGTATGGATGTCAACTATTTGAGGAACAACATTTCGGAAAATACTCTTATTCCTTTATCAAGTGAATATTTGGTGATTAAAACAATGTTTTTATTTTCACAAATTATCAAAAAATATCTGCCGTTGAGTGGTCTCAAAAGACATGGTAAAAGTGGTAGTCCATAAGGAAAATTCACACTAACCTTTCCTGACTAACAGACTATTTACGACATGATGACTATGTGTATTTTAGGTGTGAAACTTAACATGTCATTATCAGAACTTTAATATATATAAAAGGAATACTTACAATAATCACACAAAATTGTCTGGTCATTAAACACAAGATGACACAAGGAAACCGCAAAGTCTAAATATGTTCTCTATTTCAAGACACTGATAAACACCTGACAATATCATTATCAGGGTCATTTTCAAAATTGGTAGGATTTTCAATTCTTTATTACAGTAAAATCAAACTCCTCAAAATTGATTTAATTTTTATTTAAATAAAACCTCAAACACTTAATTATTCAAAAATACCAACATGCAGACTGAAATGTACTAATTGACCATTTAATTGATACATAAGTAATTACAAGGGTGGGGGACTGTCCTGACCGTTACCACTTCTTAGTCAGAATATGGATTTTGAAATATAATTCATAAAAATCTTTTAAAGATGGCAGACACAGCTTTTACACAGACTTAATCAAACTTGAAGATAAAAACTATCATCATGAATCTTGAAAGTGTTATTTTGTATCTTTCATTTATTTACTACAAAATGATAGCATTTTTCTAAAACATTATTATGTATATAGCTTTCAACAGGTAAAATTGTCTAAAATAAACATCAGCTACTAAGCCCAGAACATCTTTTAATGACACCAGCATAAAGAGGAGTGTTTCATGTATTATCATGAATTAATTAGAGCAGTCAATTAACACAGTAACGGTTAGGACAATAGTGGTAATGGTTTGGACAGGAATGGTAACGGGCTGGACATAAGCCTTAAACAGTTTAATTCCACATAGAAACAGTTAACATGAAAGGAAAAATATGACATCATTTACTTGAACTGCTAACCCTATTTTGGACAGACAGTGAAATGTGTAATAGAAATTGTAACTCGTAACTAATATGACATGTTTTCTTCCATGCTGTGGTAACGGTTTGGACATTTGTTATATCAATATAAAACTTGTCAATGAATTTAGGCTTTTGAATAAAAACAAACTGTAGCTTCTAAAGAATAGAAAAACATACCTGTCTAGACTGAAAATCACTTATAATCTAAAGAAGAGTGCAATTGGGGAACGAAAATTGAATGAATAGTAACGGTTGTGACATTATTGGTAACGGTCAGGACATCAGTGTAACAAACAAATGTTATCCCTCTAAAATGTTGCAAAAGATTAAATTCTGAAAGGTACTGCAACAACTATGATACTGTACACATGGTCATGCTACACAGGCCACTGCATAGCTATCATTTTGCTGTTGATATTATGGTGCAATATTAGTCTCCACGAAATATACTTCTTTCATTCACTTGGATACCTTTAGTTTTTGTTGATAGTGAGATGGTAACACATATTTATCAAATACAAAGGCCAACATATTAGCACTTATCAATATTCTAAGTAAATGGTAGTCTTACATATCTCACAAAGTCAAAACAGACTACACCAAAATAATCTTTAAAGGTTGAAATACAATTGAGTTGTTTACCGTTACTACATTTTGTCCTAACCGTTACCTTTAATTCATAAAGACTATACATCTTATAGAAAATAGAAATTAACGTGATAAATTCGTTTTGGTTTTTATTATCAAAAGCAGATAGACAAGTAAATAGAAATTTATTATCACACCATAGAACATATGCTTCAAAATTGAAATTTATTAAAGAACTGTCCCGACCGTTACTATTATTTGTCCAAACCGTTACTAGAGACTGTGTTTTTTATGCTACTACATCAAAACTCCTTTGAATAGTACAAGTCCATGCTTAAACTATCTTAACTCTTAAAGAAATTATAAATTTGTTATACTTCAAATATTAATGAATAACTTTTTGAAATGCAAATCATTTTGTCCTGACCGTTACAAGGACTGTCCAAACCGTTACTTTGCAGAATGGTAACGGTTTGGACAGTAATGGTCAAGACAATTTGTAAGTAAATCTTAAATAAAAAAATGAATGATCCCTAAAAGATTTCAGAGGACATGCCTTCCACCTCTTCCATTTCTGGGCACCATATCCATTGAAATTTAAAAAAAAAAGAGATACATATTCGTAACATTTATACTTATTTGACGGTGTCAGTTTTCTTCAAAATGTATTGAATCTCTTTATTTCATCTGCTGTCACATCCACAGGGGCTAGCTCAAACAGACACAGGAAGTAGTATTACAATCCAGCTCCAGGGAGATATTATTGCAGGAATTTCATACACTGGTAACAGTCAGGACACAGAATCACAGGACAAGCATGTGACAATTTGTAGAAAAAAACTTTTTTAAGTTAAAAAAAAATTAAGTGCAGTGTGAGTATGCTTGATCAATCCTTATTGGCATAATATGAATTAATTTGTCTATTTGCATTTATATTTACATTATTTGTGAACATTGATATTAGGACTGTCACCTCCAGACGGAGCAAATCTGTCAATTTTGACTCCAAAATGTGGTTAAGTGTAAATTTCAAAATGACAAGACTAATGATATACCACATTTACTGACTAGTAAACATCTAAATATGTTTTTTTGAACAAAAAAATCCTTTTAAACTCACAGATTTTTTTTATATTCGGAACGGACAGAAAATCCTACCAATTTTGAAAATGACCCATCAATACGTTAAGTGAATGGAAAGATATGTTTTAGGTGAATAATAAATATGTACCAAATGTACCAAAATGTATCATAATGTGTGTTCAGTTGTTGTCAGTACTATGTACACAGAAGTTGTCAGTACACTCAAAATTAAAATCTACCAATACAAGCTATTTGGAGGCTGTGCTGAAACGTATGTTTGGATTTTCCCAAGTCTCTTTACTAATAATAATATCCCCGGATTGTTAAATAGAAAAGTAGTTAAAACGGTTTTGCGTCTATTTCTGTAAAATGATAATACCTGATAAATCGGATTCTGTCGGCTAATATCCAGACTGTAACTTTCTTGTGTCATTTTCCTTCAGGTTGAAACTTTGCGAACATCTGTGAAAAATTCAGTGCAGTATATTGATAGTGCTAATATCATTAACATGTAATGTAAAACAGTTATTCATGGAAAACATGATGAAATCTAAAAACATTAATGGAACAATTAGGTAATACCATATATGATCATCCGAGCAGCAGCCGTCAAAATAATTTTCGTCTGCTATCCGTGACCTTGACTAAGTTCATTGGTCAAGTTCAAGGACCTTTATACTTACAGTAATAACGAAATACAATCTGTACATACCTAATGCCGAAGTTTAAAAAACGCGAAGAGAGCTAATGTGAGTAATTTAAAAAATAAATGTTAACGCGTAAATTTGTGACATACTGAACCGGAAGTGCAGTCACGCACCTGTTGTACATGCGCAGTAGCACAAGTTACAGTGGCGCTAAATACGATCGTCTGTTGCTGAATGAAAATCATTGGATTGTAAAGGTAATTTATTACATGACGATGCCAAATAACGATACAGATTGGGTTGCGTTTTCTCTGACGAATACACAATTACGCCAGAGCTATAAAATGTCCTTGACACATTTGCGTTCAAACGAACAGGGAAAAACTTGCATCTAATTTGACTGGGATTTCATTGTCAATGTCGCCTAATATTCGAAATTCAGTGTGTACCACAGATAAATTACACTCATAATGTGGTAGTTAGAAAACTTTTCATTTTGTTACATACATATATATGTTATGAATTTTGAAGCACACATTGTGTATATTTGTAACTGGTTATTAAAACAGCCTATGATTCTGGTAGTTGCCACCACCTCCATAGAACTGCAATGCTTGCTGGGGATGTGCATACACTGTATAGTGCTGGTGAGAACGAGAACGTGGCCTTGCTAGCATTCGTATATCTGTATGTATATCAATATCCAATCCTGAAAGAAGAGTTTCAATCTAGTTTCTTTTGTAAATCTGTCACTGTTCAGCAAGTCTTAATTATTTATGCTTCAGTCTCTTAAGAAAACGTCTAATATCATATGTTTTATCAGATTTATTTTTCAGTTAATGGACATGTCAAACACTGCTGAAGAAATCATTCGTGAGTAACAATATATATAAAACAGCTCTTAGAATCATTTCCAATGAATTATGGGGCAGTGGGGTAGTCTAATGGTTAAAGCATCCGCTCCTCAGCAGAAGACACAGGTTCATTTCCCAACATGGGTACAATGTGTGAAGCCCATTTCTGGCTCCTGCCATGATGTTGCTGGAATGTTGCATAATGGGGTGTAAAACTAAACTCACTACAATGGATCATAATGTTATGATGTGGATTATTATTGGTTGAGCTTACCAGACTAAATATAAACTATGATCAAATGTCATCTAATTTTACAGAGATAGTTGACAGCATACTCAAAAAAGAGAATACAGATGATGGGGTGTGGCTACAGTGGCTGGATGAGGCATTGAGACTGATTAGTAATCTCCACTCAGATTACCTTGGAGGAATTGAAAAAACAAAATGCATAACTGTAGGTACTCATCTTGTTTCTTCTTGTAAAGCTTTTCACATTTATTGTATCTTGAGAGCTTATCATTTGATGTTCTGTGAAATTTAGAAGATATTTTGATTTTACTGAAAAGAATTAATTGTTAACGAGAGATACTGGAAGTTTTGAAATAAATGTGTTGTGAAAAAAAATTAAACATTTGGGGGTCCTTTCAAGGAAACAAATTTGGTGTTTCTAAGGAGGGACAAAAACAAGATACTATCTCTAAAAAAAAATCTCAGGCTCTCATAAGATATCAGTATTGTACACACAGTGTTTCAAAATTAAGCATTAAAGTCATGGGCACCCTCTCATATGCCTAAGGTTTAATGTTTAAGGTTTGAACTATCCCAGACTGCCCAAATGTGCAAGTATTATTTTTTATTTTGAAGAGCATTTATGTATAATACAAGTAATGATATAGTCATTATGCTATATTTCAGCTGGAAACTAATGGAGTGTCTTTGTGGAATCATGCAGTTGGGCTGAAGACAAAAGGTTGTTTGTCCACTGTTACCAATGCCAAATGTAAGTTCTTTCTACCATTATTAAATTATTAAATTGTTGTAGTGCCAAATGGCAAATTTTCAAAAAACATTTTGGGAAAAGAACATAAGGATACAATATAAAACAGTAACCTTGTAGATGTATTTATGTCACAGATGGGATGGCAATTTAGCCCAGTGAAAGGCTCATCAGGCTGATTTTTATTGTTTGAGTCAGTGTATGTACAACATGTGCAGGCCAGTCTGTGATAAAAATGGAATTTTGTTGAAAGCTGTCAGTGTAAAACTCAAATGGTTCACTGACAGACAGATGTTTAATTTTGTTTGAAAATTTGTATCCCCAAATTTATCTCTTCTTGCATGCAGTAATATTAATAAGTACAGTTTTATGAAATTAACTGTACAGTACTAATACCTGATTTCATTTAGGTAAATGCTGAAATATTGCTGAATGTTGATATACTAACAATATGCACTTCTTGACTCCATTCATTTCAGTGAGGCACTTGTCCTTCATGATAGTGGCATTTGCCAACCAAGGAGTTAAGGATGAAGAAACCCTGAAAAAGCAAATTGTGGTAAGTACTAAAGTCTCAGTCTTCTAGTTTTATTAATATTATAACTATATTAGACACCAGTTTCCTCAATAGGCATTAAATATTGTGCAAGCATGGTTTAGTTTTTAACCATCAGGAGGTACATGCATATTTTATGAGTGCTTGCCACAATTATGCTATATATCTGGTCTCACACTTTTAGTAAGACACACCTCTTCAGGCAAGCCTTTGACTAGCTATTCTTATCTCACTGAATGACTTTTCTTATATCTCCTGTAAACAGCGCCACTGAGCAACCTGTATGGATGGAAGTTAGGCACTATAGAAATATAGTAGTAGTAGTAGTAGTAGTAGTAGTAGTAGTTGTTATTGTAGTAGTAGTAGTATAATATCATTTTGTTTCTATGATCTCTAAATATACCCAAATATTGTGCCCTATGAACTACAAATAGTTTCTTGCTCCAGATTTCTTTGGCTTTCCTCACTAGCCAAAGTAGGTTATCCTCAGCTTGCATTAAAAGCCCAGCAAATAATGCATGTAATGTAGTAGATGAACCTAAATGCATCCAGAAAGTCAGTGAAGCATTATGCCTCTGTTACAAAAGTGTATGGTTTTCAAAATTGAATTCATGACAAGTTATTTCTCTTTCACAGATGGGGATGAAAACAGGAAGAGCATGGATAGGTAGTAACGTGGAAACATTGCATGTGTAGTATTGAAATAATAAATTCACCTAAACATTTCTCTCTGTTTCAAACCCTGAAAGGGCGAAACAAGACAATTCAGCATAACATGTAAACAATATATACCAGATGGTAGGCAGAATATGTTTGAATTAGTGTACTTTTTTATAGATAAAACCTTTGTAGCATTTAGCATAAATCCTCAGCCATAATTTAGATCATTTCACTGTATTTCTTCAAAGGAAATGAGGGGTGATGGGGTAGCCTAGTGGTTAAAGCTTTGGCTCGTCACGCTGAAGATACAGGTTCGAATCCCCACATGAGTACAATGTGTGAAGCCCATTTCTGGTGTCCCCCGCCGAGATGTTGCTGGAATATTGCTAAAAGCGGCGTAAAACCAAACTCAGTCAGTCAGTCAAAGGAAATGAGAGTTTTCAGTCAAGACTTGAATGTATTGAAGAAATATGTATGTATAAATAATTATTTAAGTGTGTGTCTCATGTTTTGGTATTATACACTTTAATGTTAGTTTTCTTTACATCAGCAATGCTTCATTACAGATGCACATCAACCTGAACAAGCTGAAATTGTTTTGAATATTTCAAATCAGGTACTGTAGGTGTTGTGCATGGCAAAACTGTTTGAAATAGGATTGTAAATCACACAGAACATTACAAAGACAAATGATATCCATCATATTTCAAAATATTGATTTGTTTAACTTTTTAGAGCACATAAATAAGTTTATAGAGACATATTTGGTTCCAGGTTCCCAGCCGATATTAATTTCCCTATTTATGTTTATATGGTAATAGTGCTTTTACTTTTATTTTGACTGATAACAAGACCAATAAAGAGAAAAAAGCCTCTCTCTCTTTTTTTGTATAATTTTTACATCATTGTAGCAGTGCAGTGCTTAAATACAATGTGAAAATTTCTCGGAAACTCCGAAAATAAGAGGTTAAACATAACTGCCATTTCTTAATATATCCCCTACATACTCTTAGGAAAAGGGTGTAAAATATCTCTTGCTGGCATGAGGCTACTTGGAAAAACAAGATTCTGAATTGGATTTTTATTATCAATGACTCTGTAGCCAAGAGATTCACACACTGGACTACAGATTCAAAGGTCTCATATATTCATTTCCAGAAATATAAAAAAACATGTGTCAGGTGATTTTACTTCATTCCAGACATTTAATTATGTGCATTGTGTTCACAGGCACAACAAATATCTGGCAAGAGACATGTACATGTTGCAGTATCAATGGAACGTGTGTAAAAGAGATCAACATGAGAGTTAACCCAATTTGAGAACATCACTTTTTAAAGATTTAATATCACTGGATGAAATTCAAGTGTTGATCACCATGTGAAAACTTTCTTCTGTTGATAAAAGTGTGCCCAGAAGCTGCATTCCACTGTAATAGAAAGAAAGAATGAAACTGGTGGGGGAAATGAGGTGATGGAGAGACAGAGGATGGAAATAGAAAAGGACATGTTTAAACTGCTGTGCTACAAGGCAGAAGTGGTGAGTGATATAGACTTCAGCGACTGCTACAAGGCAGAAGTGGTGAGTGATATAGACTTCAGCGACTGCTACAAGGCAGAAGTGGTGAGTGATATAGAAGTCAGCAACTGCTGTAAGGCAGAAGTGGTGAGTGATATAGACTTCAGCGACTGCTACAAGGCAGAAGTGGTGAGTGATATAGACTTCAGCGACTGCTACAAGGCAGAAGTGGTGAGTGATATAGACTTCAGCGACTGCTATAAGGCAGAAGTGGTGAGTGATATAGACTTCAGCAACTGCTGTAAGGCAGAAGTGGTGAGTGATATAGACTTCAGCGACTGCTATAAGGCAGAAGTGGTGAGTGATATAGACTTCAGCGACTGCTGTAAGGCAGAAGTGAGTGATATAGTGATTAAGGCAGAAGTAGTGAGTGATATAGACTTCAGCGACTGCTGTAAGGCAGAAGTGGTGAGTGATTAAGATTTCGGCAATTTCTGTAAGGCAGAAGTGGTGAGTGATATAGACTTCAGTGACTTTTCACTGTCATCTTTTTCAGTTTATGTAATATTAATAAATAGACAAGTATCAATGTGTATAGGAATAGTTTATTATGAAGAAGGATTTATCATTGTGAGGCTTTTATGTATTATGTCAGTGTATAGAAATGAAAGCTGTTGGTTCTGGAATGGAATGGACGTCTACAAAGTATTTCTATTTTAGGAAATGTTGCAGTGTAGAAATGAAGCAACTGTAAACTTGGTACAGATGGCCAAACAGATGCTCACAAGATTCCCACGAGAGGTATGTGTGAACAAACATCATGAGCTAATCATTGGGACAGCACAAGCATAAGTTTGGCAGCCTAATTGGGCCTGCTGTCATTTAACTCAGTTCAATTCACTGTGAAGGTTGGTATCTCTTGACACTGTGATTACAGGCTCAGATCCCAGATTTGTCCTGGCTATGTCTCCAGTCGGTCAGGATTATACACATGCTAAAATGGTAACCGTATGCATTGCAAATTTGCATTACTCTGAGTCTCCCTCCAGCATGATATCCCCTGTAGTATAACTGGAATATACTCATCTCCCCTCCAGACTGACTGACAGACATGCATGTGCACACGCAGATACACATGCAGATGCACACATAATTATGCACACACTTGTATGTGCTTATGTGGATCTTTAAAAATTCAATTATATTTGGATGACGACTGGTTAATATCATGTGTTTTGGTCAAAATTTGGTAACACACCACTATGTTGTCTCACTAAGTTATGGTACTCTCTACTGCCTAATAACAATATAGTCAGTATACATGTACTATAGGCCTGTGGCCTCTTAAGTGCAAATAAAGACTTAAAACTATTTACCCGTGAAGATCCAGATAAGAACTGGTCTTCAGTAACCCATGCTGGTCGTAAGAGGCGACTAACAGGATCTGATAGGCGACTATCAGACTCAATGACTTGGTTGACTCATGTCATTGTATCCCAAATGTGTAGATAGATACTCATGCTGTTGATCTCTGGATTGTCTGGTCCAGACTTGATTATTTACAGACCGCCGCTATATACAGCTGGAATATTGCTGAGTGCAGCATTAAACAACCAGCCAACCAACCGATCTTAAACCTATTTTTTGCATTGTAATGTTTTTATATAAATTAAGTCAATAAAGTTATGTGTGTCCTGTTGTTGCTAACACAGAGTGGGTTCCTTAGCATGCTGTGTTACAACTTTGGAGTAGACCTGTATCAGAAGAAGAGGCACAATGAAGCCATCCACTGGCTCCGAGAAAGTTTTGATCTCAGCAAAGAAAGGAAAGGAGTTATGCCTAGAAACCAGGTACTTTTTGTGCTACAGGCCTACCTTTGCCTATGAATGCTTTATTCGGTTAAGGGACCACCAGCACATTATGCAAATTGCAGCATTGCATAATAACATACAAGACAGTGTCACAAATATTGGGCATTGCTTTATTCAAGGGAAGATAGTTTGGTTTTGGGGTGTGTTTTTCATTCACTCAGTACCATACTAATCTTCACTAATGTTAGGAATTTGGTGCACTTTTTAGTGGTAAGGAAACTAGACTTACCTAAACATTTTGTGTTGTGAACATATGCTGAAGTTAACAGTTTCATTTTTAATAAATTTTGCTTCCTGCAGGTTTTTCCCAAAACAATTGGTAGAATATGTTCTGAGATATTTTGATAAAAAGGACAGATTAGACAGGAGTTACATTTGTACAAGTCTTCTTAGCATTTGCCTGAATAATTATTTCATATAGACAAATTATTAAAATGTGAAATGTTCTCACCAAAAGGATATTTTGTGTTGATTGTTTTGCTTGAGGTGAGTGCCTAATTCACAAAACTCTTTCCACAAATTAATAGAATGCTAACAATGCTAGTAACCCCTGATTTCCAGCTTTGTTCAAACAAAATCATCACATGAACAGATTGCACATGGACCTAACATTACAAAGCCCCAAATATTGTCTTGAAGACTATCTGATTTTAAGATGCTGGAAACAGAGTGATGGATATCATTTATATTAACTTTTTTTCTATATATAAGTGAAAAAACATCAATGCAAACCCAACAAGATATTTATTTTGATTAATTCCATTCCAGGCAAGAACTCTAAGACTCTTGGCAAATGCCTACATTGAGAGTAACCCCTCAGAACACTTTGAGAAGGCCTTGAATGCAGTGTCCCTGGCAAACACAGTCAGTATTTCTTCATTTTGTGTATACCTTTCGAATATGTTGTGATAAAAGGTAATCAGATTATCCTGTTACCTGATCCTAGTTTTACCAATTACATAATCGTCAGTTACATGTTTTGTTTATACATTTTGTTGGGCAAAAGACAGAATACACCCATGTTTGGTCATGGTTACAGTTATACAAATAGTAGTTGTTTGATTGTGATGTATGGGATATAGGTGTCATAGCTGTGCTTTTGACCTTACATTTGCAGTGCTTCAGTAACTGGAGTGTTTGTAATTATTTGGTCAAATCCAATTTTCAGTGTATTCTTTTTTCGCCAAACCATTCTGTTATTTTATCAGCTTGCTGAAAAACATATTGTCACATAGTAAAATAATAGGGATGTCATGATACATAAGTTTCATGAATCGATACGTATCACGATACCCATGTCACCATTCGATACGTATCACGATACCTATTTTTGTGGCATTATTGCGTAAATTTTGTTACATTTTGAACATTGACATTTCATATTTTATAATTGTCCATGAAGAGATCAACATTTTTGATTCTCAGAGATTAAAAAGTTTTAATTTCTCATCTTTGTGCACCTCACATGGGTACAATGTGTGAAGCTCATTTCTGGTGTCCCCTGATGTTGCTGGAATATTGCTAAAAGCGGCGTAAAACCAAACTCAGTCAGTCATCTTTGTGCAAAAAATATACAGTTTGCACGTGTTATCTGGCTGATGTTGTTTTCTAATGTTGAATACATATATGTGAGGCTTACAGGAGCACTGCCACCCTGCCGGTCTCTACCTGAAGCTCAGAGTACTGCTGATAGGAGGAGAGAAGGGGGCACCTGTCTCTGCAGGTGAGGCACAAACATTCACTTGTGTATTGTTCTTAGGTTCTTAGTGTTACTGGCTTCCCTGTTTATCCAGTGAATCATAGTTCCATTCACCTTTTCCCCAATACCTTTGTTTTGAAGCTTGAGGTACATATTCTGTATCACTGGCTTCAATTGCTTGTTGGCTTGAAATCAACAACCTATCAAAATGTGATCTTCTAATGCCAGCCAAAGTCAACATATGAAAATTCAATTCAGCCCCATGAGAGCTCAACATTTAAACCACAACATGTTTATCTCTTTGCTTAGTTTGGTGAACGTATTAAGGCTCTCAGGCTTGTAATAATTTCTATCTCTCCTTGTTGAGTGTAGAACAAATTTAGACTCCGGCTGTAGTCTGTTTATCTGCAGATGGTATGTTTATCTAACAATGATCTTTGAGTGGTATTTAGAAGTTTGATATGTGATTCATGACAATGTAGAATGATGATCAACTTCATATAACAATTGTAGTCAGACTTCCTTGTCAGACCTGACACCGGACATTGTAGTAACAATGTGTATCATACATACAATCTTGCACTAGCTAATTGCCCACTTTCTGTTTATCTCCATATTGTGGTATCAGTTATGACTAACAAGGAGAAAGTGAAATCTGAGATTAAAAATGCAGATTGTATTGGAAAAGATATATGTAATCAAATCATACAGAAATTCCAATCACAGAGATTTCCTAAATTCATAGAAATTCATATGAAGCTAGGGCAGCATGCAGGATGAGTTAGTGAGCATGCATACATACATACTTGGTCATTTCATTATGTGGGTTTCTTGAGCAACCAGCAATATTCCAGCAACATGAGGGCAACCTGGAAATAATTGGGTGAGGACCAGACAATCTGGTGATTGAAGCTGTGATTAACAATCCATGCTGTCAAGATATAAAGATACCTCATTTAGCAAGCCAACAAGTCGGACCAGTCTGTGAAGTTGCCTGTTACAAGTGGCATAGGTTCTGAGGGACCTAACCTAAATTGGAACCCTTACTGGTTCCCAGAATAGTCGTCTCTTACCACAAGACAGGTCCCTTAGAGTTACTCACAGAGGTACTCGGAATATCATAATGTCATTAGGTTCATCACCAAAACTGCATTATCAAACACATCAAACTTCTACAAATGTAACAATTACACACAAAGGTTTCAAAATTGTGAATGAGTGGTTTTGAAATTATACATTTTCAGGTACATGTTCTATCCCAATGAACAAAGTAAATACTTGTACAATCTGCAAACTCTTTTTCAGTTTTGGATGACATCATTAAGCACTCAGATTGCACCCTAGAGCTAGGACTGAGCGTATTACAGCTGTTAAAGCAGTACAAATGGTAACAATTATTGTTTGTCCAAATTTTCCATTTCAACGATGTTTGATTTAAGTCAATAAATTGTACTGTTATCACACTCCTCTCCTAGACCAGACAAAAGCAGTGTTTGATGGTATGAGCAACCATCCATATTTTGAAGGCATAGAGAGCACAATCAGACTTGTCACAATTTGTAAACCCAGACCAATCCCTCTTTGTTTGGTCAGGGTCAGTGAACACATCTCACAATTTTAGAGCAATCAGTGTTTGAATCCCATAAAACACATCCACACATGTTTCTGAATATCATGACCTGAGACATCTCACCTGAAATGCTTTATATCAATGTTTATTACAGTTTTGATAACTGTATGGACTTTCCATCCAAGTTGAGGAAAAGGTTTGAGCAGTGTCCCGATGTTGGTCGGCTCTTCATAACCCAGCTCCAGGCCTTGCTGGAGAGTGACCAGTCCCAGCAGGCAAAGCTTTTCTCTGAAGAATGCATCACAGGTACCTGTTTGTGTATGTATGTTGTATAACACTGTATTTAGCAATATTCCAGCTGTAAAGGTGGCTGTATTTAAATGGGTTAGGACCAGATAATCCCATGATTGATATGAGCAATGATTTTGATATGGTGACTACTGTTACCGGTAATATAGTGACTGAGTCTTCTAACCATCATAGGGGGCGGTGAGGTAGTCTAGTGGTTAAAGCGTTGGCTCATCCGCCGAAGACCCGGGTTTGAATCCCCACATGGGTACAAATAGTGAAGCCCATTTCTGGTGTCCCCTGCCGTGATATTGCTGGAATATTGCTAAAAGTGGTGTAAAACCAAACTCAGTCAGTCAGTCTAACCATCGTAGGACATAGTACTCCTACTGTAGTGTGTCTACCAGCATGGACAGTTATACTTGTTTAATATAGTATTTTGCTACTGAGGTATGAACATGAAAATCTGATATCCATAGCAAAAGGCATTAATCTTGACTATTTAGGCGATTTCACTGGAGCAATAACTGCCAGGATTATATAGTTTCACTAGTGCTGGTTATCACTCACAATATGTAGATCGATGATACAAGCTCGCTAATAGATCAATAATCGATTGTAAATAGTAAACCCCACCCCAAACTCATGTGGGCAATAACAGGACACAATCATAACATTTTGCATTAGTTGTTCATGTCTTGATTTAACAAACATAACAATAAGAAACATGCTTTCTAAAGTTTAATTTCATGTTTCATGAGTAATATTCATTAAATACATATTGTCACGTGAATTCTTACTCCACTTTCTAATAGCATATTACCTTTGCTATTATTAAGAGAATGAAGATTCTATTCTTAAAGTCAATATTTGATGTCCAAAAAATGGTACCATCGGCAGCAGAAAGACATCAAAATAATTTATCACTGAAAATTAAAAGTCTCTTTTATGCTGCTTGCTTCCCTGTCACACCAGAAATAACATCATGGATGCGGATATTAATTTTAATTACATTTTTGACAGTCAGACTGACATACATAATTAACAATGTATTTTTCTCACATATTTTAATGGCTATAATGTACAACTGGAATTCATTAAACATACAATTTAAAGTTACCCACATTTTAATTATGCCTTCAATCTTATTCTAATGCAGGTTTTAAAAATGCTCCAACCTACTGTGCTCTGCTGTGTTTTTGCAGAGGTGTTTCAGTGTGTGCCCACGTCTTGTTACTTAGGAATATGTAGTACTTCTCTTCCCTGTTTCTGTGTCTAGCTCACAACACAGGAAGGCCACTGGACATAAACACAAGGAAGCAGTTCCACTTGGTGTTTTGGGAGAAGGCTGGAGCTGCTTTTGAGGTAAAGATTGTATATTTGAGCTCTAGAACAAATCACATCTGATTGTATAACTAGTGTTATGTTGTATTTCAACATAGATATTTGTGCATACACATCGCCTCCTTAATAGTCTTCAAAACCTACCTTTGATGATTAATAATGAAGAAAAACAGACCACAAGAACTGACTTCATTCAGCTCAATAGTATATTCTGTCTGAACTTCACTTCACTGAGACCATCAGCATGTTCTGTCAAAACAAGACTTCACGGAAACCGACAGTATATTCTGTCTAACAAGACAGCTGAAATTTGTCTAACTCAGACATACATTGTACTAATGTGTCTAAACTATACATCTTTGGGACCTACAGTATATTCTGTCTAAAACAGCATTTTTTGAAACCAACATTGAGTTCTGTTTAAACAAGAAATGTTTAAGACCAATTTCTTATGCAGAGGTCCGGATTAGAGCAATTCTGACAGGAGACAAAAATATGGGAAGTAATGATGAATTTGAAAGAAATGTTATTATTTATCAGAATATCCTGCACCACAAATATGGTCTGTTTTTCTAGATTCAATTGTGCTTACATTCATCACAAAACACTATTCATTTGGCTAATTGTCAATATCCATCTGTTTGTATAATTGTCGCACACTGTATGCATACAGGGACTACACAGATAATTAATCATATTAATTGGACTGGCACTCATCTTTAGGAAGGAGATCACAATGTCACAATAGATGGGCTAAATATCAATGAGCCTAAATTAAAGTTTAAGGTTATGGTTATTCTAATATAGCTGATAATAGGTTTACTTATATGAAATAGTTAAAGACAGTCTGTTAAACTGTTAAACTTTCCTCTGGACTTATTGAATAGTATGTCTGGGAGATGAGTTCTTGTTATTATGTTAGGCTAACTAATATTATGCATCTCTATTTTAACTGAATCATTTATGTTACTTGCTGTGGATCTATGATTAATAGAAACATTTGTATAAATGTCACTCCATGATAGTTACTTCATTATAAGCTGACTTCATCAAACCAGTGTGTTCTGTGTTCCCAGAGTAAAGAGTATGGCGAGGCCCTGACATGGTACAACTACTCCCTCAGTTTGTTCTCTCCCAGCGAGATGACCAGCATCAACATGGCCAAACTCCAGAGGAACAGGGCTTCCTGCTTTGTAAACCAAGGACACCTACCACAGGTAGATATCCGTTGGACGACTGAAATCTAGCAGTTGCTTTACACACATTTCCTACCATAGGTGGATCCAGAGGGGGTGCGCACAGTTTATTATATGACCTGTGAAACACAGGTGAAAATGAAGTGTGCATTCCCCTTTCTAAAAAAGCTGTATCCGCCCCTGCCTACCATTCTATCAGATTCAGTTTCAGTTATTTCCAACTGCATAATGCTAACTATATTACATATATGTAATTTTCTGGCATTTTCAGTTATCACATCCGAGCAGACAACTATATTACCACAATCTACTGACACAGTGACATATATTTTCAGGACAGTGATTGTTAAATTGCATTGTAAATGGAACATATGTTATATTTGGGATTACACTTTCTTTGGTAAAGTATAGATTCTCACATTTTGGGAGATTCTAAACTACAACCTCTGAGGCACCAAATCGCCAGATCTGGATCACATACGTTTTGCATCCCTCTGATAAGTGTAAATTGGTATGCCTCCCATGGCTGAAAGCTATGAAAGTGGTCAAATGTAGCAAACTTTATATATGGGATTACACTTACTTAGTAAACTACAGATTCTAGTAGTTGTTTAGGGTTGAGTCTCATCCAGGAGTCAAACCAACACTCTAAGAGTAAGATTACCAGTTGTCAGACTTCCATCTTTGTGCCGCCATATAGCTGGCATACGGCATTAAACAACAACAACCAGTCAGTCCAACTTTGTGGAAGCCTAGGTGGCTGAGTGGATTAAATCATGGACTTTGTGTACTGGTGATTTAGTTCCTCAGTCTGAGAGTGTGTGTTTGAATCCCAGATGGAACGCCACCCAAAGAGTTCTAGAATCTGTACTTTACTGAGAAGTGTAATCCCAAAAATGTGTTACATTTGACCACTATTAAATAACATTGTGTATTCATGCATTGTAAATGTATTCTACGTGGAAAAACAGAGATAAAACACCAATGGTTTGGGTGGCCTTAGAATTGATAAGATTACAAGCTGGTACAGTAATTATAGTGAGTGAGTGAGTTTAGTTTTACGCCGCACTCAGCAATATTCCAGCTATATGGCGGCGGTCTGTAAATAATCGAGTCTTGACCAGACAATCCAGTGATCAACAACATGAGCATCGATGTGCGTAATTGGGAACCGATGACATGTGTCAACCAAGTCAGCGAGCCGGACCACCCGATCCCGTTAGTTGCCTCTTACGACAAGCATGGGTTACTGAAGGCCAATATTCTAACCCAGATACAGTAATTATACATACTGGACATTGCTGTAAATTAAAGTGTCCCCGTTATTGGTAATTCACAATTTTATTCCCTTTTTCTTTTCATATGTAAAACATCATTCTGTTAGAATACAAAAGACCCATTTAAAGGCAAAAGAAATGTGTTTCCTCTCGCAGGCAAAGGAAGCAATCCAGCAGGCTGAGAAATGCAGCCCAGATGAGGCTCACACCCAGTTTATCATCTACAAGATAGCACTGGCAGAAGATGATCATGATACAGGTGAGCCACACTTATTGGTTTGCTTTTTCTGAATCAGTATATATGCCTACATTTGATTTTGATTTACAGAATAAATTCAAACATACTGATTCATTACTATCAGTTAACTTGTAGCATTAAATACAATTATTTAATTTTTTCAATTTAAATTTTATTTCTGAATCCCTGTTACAGTCAAAACTAAGCAGCCAGGGGACAGCTCAGTCTGAAGATGTACAGTAATTTAATGGGATACAGGTGGAAATTTTTACGAAACAAGACAATCCATTCACTCACCATTCACACAAGTACAAGATTATTTTTAATTATCAAACAGTAATAATATAATTAATTCAGTCGTCTTTGAATAAGCCATGATATAAGAGCCATTTCGAATAAAATTCGGCATTACAGTTTTTGTTAAAGAAAATACATTTTTCAATACTATATCTCAATCTCAACTCACTTCTGAACTGAGCAATATTTGGTAAAACAGAATTGAGCTTGCATTTGTACAAATAATATTTTCCCAATAATATGAACAAGTCAAAAACAGAGTTAGTAAAAACATTTTTCTTACAGCCAAAAATTATCAGTTCCATAGTGAGATTGAGATCATGGATGTGGTCACAACCTTCTGTTAACCATGATAAAAAATTTGACCAAAAGGTTTGCACAAATTCTCAATAGATTCCGTTTCTTCATTACAGAATGAACATAAGTCAGAATCTTTTATTTTAACTTTTTAAGAAATGTATTGGTAGTTAAAATTCTATGGAATATCCTGTACTGGAACCATCTCAATTTGGTGTCTTGTGTTGATTTAAACGATTTTAGGAAGATACAGTTCCAGTCAAGACCACACTGAAAATCCTCTTGCCACTTTAACTGTGCTCTTGATGTCCTGTTTGAAGAACAAAGGATATAGTAATAGGCTTTGGAACCTTTATTAATTGAAAGTAACAATCGAATAAATGGTGTATTTCCTGCACATTGTCCAGTGTTTTCTCTCACAATTGACAATCCAGCAAAATATTTTCTTATAGAGCTAATGACACCATAGTATTCTAAAAAAGATACATTCAATTGATACCTTTCATTAAAATCAACCAGAGACAGATAACTGCCATTTTCATCAACAAAATCACAAATTTGAGAGATACCCCTTTGAAACCACCCTTCATAAAAATGGTTTTCTTATCAATAACAATATTGCCATTATAAAATATATGATCAGAAAAGAAATCTTCAAAATTATCAAGTTTAATTGAAACAATCAATCCAGAAGGGATTTTTCAGATTTCTGACAATTTTTTTCAAATATTCTTTGCCATGCTTAATATCAAATTCACTACATTTACAATAACTAGCATTTAAAATATATTTCAACTTGGGATCTTTAGTAACTAGTTTTCTCATCCAAGTGACCTTCAAAGCTTTGACATATTCAAATATATTAATCATACCCAATCCACCAATTAAATCCAATTTGTATGTCACTGATAAGAGGAATAATAGAGAGAAAAATGTCTGAAATAATAGTTTTATATTGTTGCATTGAATGCAGATGTATCATACCACTGAATGGCATACAGATCAAAATCCTCGATAGATCTCTGTCAGAAAGTTTGTTATATCTGATGTCTTGTCCAACCCATGGTTGCTCTGATGATACTTAATGTACAGCTACAGGTAAAGTGAGTGAGTGAGTGAGTGAGTTTTATGTTGCTTTGAGCAATATTCCAGCAATAACACGACAGGGGACACCAGAAATGGACTTCACACATTCTACCCATATGGGGAATCAAACCTGGTTATTTGACGTGATGAGCGAATGCTTTAACCACTAAGCTAGGCCACGATGGGCTGCAACTCCATGGCTTATCTGTTGATTATGTTTCAGCCAGCTCCAGTCTACAGAAGATGGTGACAGGGGGTAAGGATGGGCCAAATGTCAGCCAGTCTCAGACCTTCGGTCTCATCTGTCTAGCTGCTCAAATGGCTTTAGAGGTAATGCTTAAATGTAAATAGCTCACCATATCTGTTTACTTGTACCATGTTTACAGTAGTAAAGTTTCTTTGTTCAAACATGTACCCAATAAAACACCTTTATTCATTCATACCGGGAGGTCATTTAATTATTTTATCTAATCTCATTAATAATCTTTTGTGGACTGTATGCTAGTCCACTGGGTAGTAATATCTCCATCTGACTGTCTGACTGCAGCACAACCACTGTGACACGGCCTGTGTGGCCCTGGACTTCCTCATCACACACAGTGCTGACCATCAGCAAACCCTCATAGCTCTTCGCTGTCTGGTCAGACTCAGGCTGGGACAGGCCGATAAGAAGAACTACTGCAGGTATTCTCGGAGACTAACTTTTAGTCCCGGAAATAAAGTGTTATCCATATGTTGAATCTACAAAACAAATCCAAATGGAGCTGAGAACAATCCTCAATTTCACAAGAACAATCTTAACATGCCAAATCATCCTAGACTTGAGTACGACTCCTATCTAAATTATTTTCCAGGATCTGGGAGACTGACCAGTATTCCTGCAGAAATGATATCATTATTTATGTATTTTTCCATGATTAATATAACTGGCTTGTCTCAACTGTAATCAACAAAAACTGTGAAGGCAAAGTAATACCTTACTGGCAGAGATGTAGCTGTCTTTGTGTGCAAGTAAATCCTTATGTTACTTCACACTTTGAAAATCTGCTATCAGTCTTGCCAGTAATAACCACCAGATTTATTCCTATTACTGTAATTAATCTATCATTGCAAGAATTTGGTATCCTTAATCTCTTTTGAGTAGTATATATTGTGTGCTAGAAACAATAACAAGGAAATTTGGCAGTGTAGTGTACAAAACGTTCAGTGTGTAATAACATTCTTTTCTGTTTCAGTGAATCCCTTCAACCTATCATACCACTGATCAGAACAGGTAAAGTTTCAGGCATCTACAGTAGTTTGTATAATTTGAAACATCTTTAATGGGAAATTGGATGAATAATCTTACTCAGATGTATATCTTTTTGAAAATATTGTGATATGAGTTTCACACAAAAGCACTACATAAGCAAATGAGCATTACTACAGATATAGATTTTTTTTACGTGGTGATTGCCAAACTCAGGCGAAACACAGAGGTTAACTAATAAATTGCTTTGCACAAAACTAAATTGTCAAATGTGAAATCATTTAATGACCACAAAAGATCAATGAATGCTCAGTGGATTATATTTAAACACACAGTTTTATGTTTACAATAAAAAGGCGATACAGTGAGTGAAAGAAGTAGCAGCAGCAGCAGCAGCAAGATAGAGGCTCTAGAATTAATGTTTAGAATATTGTTCCTGTTAAATGTCTTGAAGGAGGCATGATTCTGTTCTTGAATCCAGAATGGTGTTGACAGCTGGCAGGAACTAGGTTTTTCTTAATAGGTATCCAAACTAATTGGCAAAAGGATAAAGAATATTTAGGCAGGTTGATAAAGATCTCTAATTGCTCATATAGGTACTTTCATATCCAGGCACTTCTAGAATGATCAATACTGTTCATGGACACCACAAGGGGAAACAACTCTAGTTCTAGGACATAATAAGTCTTGAAAGCTCTACTTTCAGCTGTGGACTGCTGTTCAAATCTTGCCATGACAGCACTTAGTATGTGTTTCAGTTGTAGTTCATTGAATTCTTGCCATTAACAGTTTATACAAAAAGTTTCTTCTGCCTCTAATATAACTCACACACACAACACCTTGCAGTGTAATTGGGGAGGTTGGGTTGCCTAGTGATTAATGTGTTTGCTTGTTATGCCATTGGCCTGGGTTTGATTCCCCACATGGATCCCTTGTGTAAACCCCATTTCTTGTGTTCCCCCAAACCCCTTCATGGAATATTTCTAGGTTTGGCATTAACAACAAACAAACAACATAAGACAGGTTTACAGAGGTGTTCCTATGTTATAGCATACAACAAACTGCTGATTCTTGGGAAACAGCCATCAGGGGAGGGAACTCTGGAGGAGGCCATGTGGTTCATGAAAATAGGTAACAAGATGACATTTCGGTCAATGTACTACACCTGCTGTTCTTACGTAATCAAATGAAATAATAAGGAATAATGTGTCTATCAATACTCAAAGATGTTTATCAATTTTTAGCTTCCATTTAAAAGTAGGCAATTTATTGAAATAGAGGGTTCAGCTTTTCCTGAATTCAACATTAATGAGGACTGTCATGAGTTCATATGATAAACAAGCATTTTGTGTGTTTGTTAGCATGGAACCTAGCCTTAAAGTGCGAGGATGACCCATTCAGCTTAAAGGACCTCTTCAGTCTCTGTTTAAAGGTACCGTACATAGCTCCAGATATATTTATGTTTTTGAATAACTAGTGAGTGAATATTGCTTTATGCATGTAAGCAATCACTCAACTATGCACTGCAAGTAGTTGTTTAAAAACATCAATAACTGCAATTAACTATAAATTTGTAAAAATAAGTAAATGGAAAATAGTGTTTTTATTAGAATATTACATCCCCTTATTTCAAAATAAAGTATTTATGAAATCTATGAAATGTATATATTGGTCTTACTTGGTGTGCAAATTTGTGAAAAGTTTTCTTTTTTCTTATCTCTGAGTCAACAAGTTTCAATTTTTTTTAAAAACTTCAATTATCATTGGTAACTGTAATTAAATGTAAATTTGTAAAGCAAGAATAAAAAATATAGCCCATAATGTCAAAGTAAAGAAGCTATAGAATATATAGAGAGACCTTGGTATTATTACTTGGTTTACAAAATGTGAGAAGAGTCTCTTTTTCTTACCTCTGAGACAAGTTTCATATAAATAAAACACCTTCAGTTAGGCTAATAAAGGAAGGGCAGTGTAATCCCAAATCATTTTTACATTAATTTTCTCAGACCATCAACATTTCTAGGGGATCATTTTGTTTTAAATTTTAAAACTCTAGGAAACAACTGGAGAATGTTGACTGTGTTTTGAGTGTACGATTGTATATATTTGTAAATGCTAAAACTTAAATAGTGTTAAATCTGGCACAATACAGAAGAATAGATTAAAATGAAAAGAAGAGCCTGTATTTCTGTATGAGTTTCTCCTCCCAGCTGTTGTCCCTGCTGCCATCAGACAAAGCACTTACATGTCGCCAGAAGACATGCACACTGATGGCTGTTGCTGGTTGTCTGCAGATGGCTAGAGCTCACCCAGATGATGATAATATGGTAAGATGGAAATTCATTCTGTCGGTATTTGTTCATCTGCTAATTCTTAAATGTTATGTGGAAAATATATGAAGATATGCTTGGAATAATCAGTTTACATAACTGTTAATGGTTTTATGACATACACAGGACTCTTGGTCAGTTTTTAAACCATGGAGTACATGCTCAGATTTATCACTGGGTAATTCATCATTTTCTTCGGATATTCAGTGTGTAGAGCTTAACCTTTTTTTATCCAGCCTAGTCTGTATCTTTGAACCAATGCTTAGATTTTTGTTTTGAAAAATTCTGCTTAAAATATGCTGTTAATTTTATATATGCTCAAGTAACGTTTAATTTGTTCTTTTGATGTTCTGCCCAATGTTGCATTAATTTACAATACCATTGCATGTCTCCATTGCAGTAAGCTATATGAAGCACTTCAGACATAGCTGTTACGAATCATTTGCATATTCCATGAATCAAACTGCATCCCTTCATGAATTTAAATCTTTATTTGCAGACACTGGAATCTAATATTCATACATGTTTTCGAAAGGAGTGAATTTACCTGAATTTGGGTGTTATTTATCAAAATATCAAATATTCAACACTCTTATATATTAAACTGGACAGTAATGTGGTAATTACCATGATGAATCAACTCTGTCAACATGGTTAAAACATGTCAAAGAATTTATTTGTTGTTCCAGTGAATATAATGAATAATGCACCAACTGCTTGACTTGTAGTTGTTACCCAATATTCCAGTATGTATTGTATTCACGTCATAGTGGATCCATTCCAGCCCTGTTGTTGGTTATTATTCACGACATGTATGTCGTACCTACATTCAATAGTACTTATAAATGTATAGAGATGTTTTTTCAGTTATGTAAGATGAAATTTATGCACAGTCTTCTTATCCTGTTGTTTTTTGTAAATTTCGTATTTCAGGGTGTTACTGGCATACCGCAATATGCTTTTTAAATGATACATGTTGCAGTATTTTTTTGTGAGAAATAGTATATTGGGTAAAAAATATGACAAAGTTTTGTGAGTTCTGTTTAGAAAAGAAACTAGATTCCCGAACTATGCAACCTAATTTTGAGATTGCTTTTATCAGAACCATAGCATTTGTTTTTATGGCCTTAGTACGTAGAAAATATGATCTACATGTACAATCAGTGTAGCTCCCAATATATTGCAATACAGGTACCTGAACCGCTATATATTGCAATAGAATCTATTTACCAATACACAGCTGTACAAATATGCATCATACATTAACCTTTGCATTTGGTATGAGGAACTAAACCTATTGAAATATGTTTAAAACAATATTTCTACATAACAGTTTTTTGCAAATTGTATGTATATACCTATTTACCTTGTACCTGCTGTAGGTCTAAGAGCCAATACTTCACAGATGTGGTTCGTTATGAACATGTCATGTCAATAGTCATTTTGCATAATAGTTATCACATACAATGTAAGGTATTCATTGTATTCAAACTCTTGTGAAGTTATATGTACAACATGTTTAATTAACTTCTATTGACAAACATAACACTTGTTTATCATTGTTTATGATAACAACTGTTCACATTTCCTTTACAGTAGGGCAGTGGGATAGCCTAGTGGTTAAAGCATTCACTTGTCATGTTAAGGTCATGGGTTCGATTCCTTTCAGGAGTATGCATGTATCCAATTTCTGGTGTCCCCACACTGTGATATTGCTGGAATATTGCTAAAAGTAACCTAAAACCATAAACTCATCTACTTATCTTTTATAATGATTGTTTATTGATCAGAGAGATGCACTGGAGGAAGCCCTGTGCTACATTGAAGAATTCCAGTTGCTCCAGAGGGATCAGAAGAGTGTTACATGGACACAGATAGGTATCATTCACCCACACTTCAAGCACAGTAGTTTAGGGGTGTATTACACTACACAGACTGACACCTATACTAGGTAGGAGTAATTAATTACCATCAACAATGGGAATTATGCCTAAACCAAAACGATGCAATATTAATGGGTCTAATCCACAGGGGTGGTAGGGGAGTCTACTAGCTTAAGTGCATGCCTTACAACCTTGGTTCAATTTCCCACATGGATGCAATGTGTGAAGCCCGTTTTCACTCCCATTTTAGTGATATTACAGGTATATTGCTAAAAGCTGCATGAAACTTCACTCAAGGAGATACACTTTTTAAAACAATCTAAAATTTGCAATTCATAAACAGAAAGCTAACTAAATTATTTTGTGATATGTTTTAGAAAACTAACTTTTTACCCAATCGAAATTGTTTTGTATGTGACACTGTATATAGGGATGGCTGAAAGAGGCCCATATAAAGGACACTATACATTATAAAGTAACAAAACTTGTATGCCTCTCAGAATGCTTGTGATGACCAAGTATCATACTATGTAATTTATTTTGACAGAAGACACAAAAGGTCCTGATACCACCGACATGCTGCTATTGCTGTATGAGTTTGAAGCCCGTGTTAAGTTACAAGACAATGGGGCTGAAGCATTGCTGGAGAAAGCTCTTACCTTACCTCAACCGGAACCAAAGACTTTTGAGGCTTTTGCAGGTTTTAGTTTTAATAAATCTACGTTCATTTCAAAAACAGAAAGGTCAGGAATCTGCATCAGTTGTTTATGTGGTGATGTAACAAACATAACAATAAGAAACACATGTTCTAAAATTGAATTTGATATTTATATTTTCGATTATTCTCCTGAACCCATTGATGCTGACACAAGCGAAATCCAGTGTCCAGTTGTCTTCAACAATAGCTGTTGTCTGTTCCAGGGGTGGTGGGGTAGTCAGCTTAAGTGTTCAATTGCCTTCTATGACCAACAGTCAAATTCCTACATGGATGTGTGAAGCCCATTTTCACTCCCATTTTAGTGATATTACAGGAATATTGCTAAAAGCTGCACAAAACTTTGCTCTTACTTACTCATTCATTCACTCACCAACCTACACACTCACTCACTTGCTCTCTACGTTCCAGCCCTCGCTGTGGAGCCACCTGCCTGTGACAGAGGTTTGAGTATCCGGGCACTCAAGGTGGCGATCAGAACACACCTGCAGGTGGACCAACCTGACTTCCACAGATGCAGGTGGGCAACGCTACTAGATTCTGTAATCATTGAACTGCATGGGTGAATAATCTGAAATACAACATGTGTATGTCTGTGGACTGCAAGTCATTTTATGATTGAAAGACTCAGAAAGAGATGTTAACAGTTGACACAGCCATGATATATGACAGCTGTTGATTTCGTTGTCAGAAGTACTAAGGTTGTAGTTTAAGTGTAAGGTGGGGTATGAGGTCCATAACATGTGTTACTGGGATGTGGTTTAGAAAAACAAATGTGACAGTTGAGTGTTGGTCAGGGTACTATTTAAATAACTGCATACATAGGGAACCGTGTACAGATGATCTGTATCATGACTATTCGAATAAAATTTGTGTTTGTTTCATAAACCCTTTTCACGTTGTGTATGTTTCTTCAGCAAGGCCATACACAGCCTGATCCAGCTGTCGCTGAGCACAGGCCAGTCCAGCAGTAAACAGGAGACGTACAACTACTTCAAGGAGACAATAGATGTCATTGATAAAAAGGCAAAGGTACATATATTCCTCATTGGGCTGCCCAAACTGAACACAGTTGCTGCTCCATCCTCATTTATCCTGAGTATTATTATTCAACCAATGAAGATCCTGGTTAGAAAAGGTCTTCAGACACCCATGCTTGTCGTAAGAGGCGACTAATGGGATTGGGTGGTCAAGCTTGCTGACTTGGTTCATTGTATCCCCCTTGCAAAAAGTGATGCTCATGATGTCGATCACTGGATTGTCTGATCCAGACTTGATTATTTACAGCCATCATATAGCTGAAAGATTGCTGAGTGTTGCATGAAACAAAAAACTAAAAACATCAATACCTATATATACTGAGTCAAAATAAAAACTTAGACAGTTTTTGGATATCATAATATTAATCCCCTAGTATCGACTCATCACAGCACATTGAAGTCAAACCAAACATCGTGCACCCCACAATAGTGCTAAAACGTGTTTTTCACGCGCTACTGGTCACGTGATCTTATCATTGCACGTGCATTCGATCACACATGTTCCCCATCAACTGCACAAAGTGCAAAAAACACTTTAAAGCACTAACAAGAACAGCCAATTCTTATGCCGCGCCTCTCAAATGTGCAGCAGTAAATGGGGTGCAGCCGTCAGACTGTGATTTACAGACACAACTGCAACAAACTGGCACCACTGCTGATTGCCCTAGGCCAGGTCAACCACGTGCGACGTCACTCGCGGAGGACCGTCAAATTGCGTTACGTCACCTCCACAATTGTTTTTGACGGCTACAGAAACTAGAAATGAGCTGTTTAGGGGTCGATTGTCTGCACAAACCATCCAAAACTGGCTGCGAGCTGCTCTCCCTTCGTGTTCGACGACCGTAAAGCGGAACCATTTTGACGTCAGCGTTTGCTCAGGGCCCGACAACACCTCCGATGGACTCAGAGAGACTAGAATGGAGTTGTCTTCAGTGATGAATGAAGATTTACCCTCAAATTCACTGATGTTAGGATGAGAGTGTGGAACAATCTCACTGACTCACTAATAATGTGTTTACACGTATCAGATAGTCCATGAGGTGGTGTTGCTTGGCAGTTGTAAAAGCACGGCGAGGCCATACATGCTACTGAACATTTGAAACATTAGATTTAGTTTCTTGTGACTTGTTTACGCTTTTATTGATAAATTCTGTAAGCATATGGAACCGATTTTTGGCATTGTTATTATTCTCAGTTCATCCTATCAACCTTAACAAATAAATGATAACCTCTATACCACATTCTTGTGTCCTTTCTTTTATATATTATTTATATATGATTGTGAAGTTTCTAGTTTGACTCCGTCATGTGTTCCTGGCATGCCCAGCCATGCATTTGTTTGGAGATTTCTGGTGCCTATAACAACCGAGTCCCCCATGCCCCCAATGCCTCAATACCTGTAATGATATAACATTTCTGTAAATTCAGGGACATTATCCTGAACTGGAGATTGTTTGGTTGATGACAAGGGCATGGAACTGTGGCATCCAATTCTACAGGTAATAGTTGGACATGTGTACATAGACAAGACGTAAAGGCATGGTACTAACACAGGATACAGCGTTGATATGTTGTATTTCAAAACTTCCCTGAATTAACAAATTGGTTTATGCTATTAAACCCAATCATCTTGCAAGAGGCACAAGTCAAAATATAATATTTATAAATAACATTTCTTATGTTGTTTGGGTAAAGGAATACTTCCTAAAAACAAGCTGTGAAATGTATCTTTACGTAATTATTTTGTAAAATATGTTATATTTTCAATCAGTCAGCATGTACATTTTGCATAATTTTTAAAAAAATTACTCTGCAAATATATGGATATGCTCATTTTTAAAAAAGAACAAAAATTGTTTGGTTTCGAAGTGAAAGAAAATAAGTACTCTTTCTTTGTTTCGTAATTATCTCCACACTGATCAATGTCCAAATATCAAGTGTGTTGTGTTAAGCATCACATTTTACATTTTACCCCAAGTTCCACAGAGTACGATGAGGCAGAGAGATGGTGCAGTATGAGTATGGGACTCCTCAAGTACTTGACAACCATGAGGCCCAACTACGAGGATCAGGTAATCAATAAACACTAGCATTCACTGCGGGAAGATCCATGTGGACAGTGTGTCATCTTACAGTGATCATGTGAAGTGTTTCACAAAGTCAACTAGATTTAATTTTTTTATCATGCCACAAAGATATTGATCTGTTATAAGAAATGAAGGATACTTTATGAATGACAACGTCTTTATTATATTATGATATGACGTTTTGTTGTAGATTCTCATACCATTGTCACACTCTTGTTTGACAAGAGTTACTTTACTGTTTGTCTGAAACTGTCCCTGCATATTCCTTATTCAGTCATCATTTTGAGGTTAAGTAAAAAATTTGATAACTCAAAATTATTTACATTTGTCCTTTCAACTTCGACACACCTGTGATTGACTGTAGATATAGGTATCATAATTGTTTGCTGTGTTTCAGTGAAGTCATGTTTCGATAATATCGGTAATTTGAGGGTCACATCCAGTTCCCACTGTATACTTCTTTCCCTCGGCAGTGGATATCAATAACGCTGTTGTAGATGAACTCAGTGTATGGCGAGATACTGGACAGGATAGAACAAGCCCGAGGTCAGCCATCAATGGAGGAGTAGAACACTGACTACAATCGGTCACTGGACAAGCTGATCTCTACAACAGTTGGTGCTAAGCAGACCAGCTTGATAAATGACTGGCTGATATATTCCTTTTTGTCTTCCTTGACAGTATTCAGTGTTTGTGTTGAGATAAAACATATCATTGACTAAAGCTTGTTTTCTATTTTAGAACCATTTCGATGAATGCACTGGACTGGGTCTGGTGATATTTGTATTCAGTTAAATTAGATTGAACAATAAACAGCAGCATTCATATCATTTTTCAGCAGAATGATTGTGTATGAGATTACTCTATTCATGGTATAAAATGGTGGAGTAAATATCTCTTTCAAATGTACCTGAGCAACCCTATGGTTTTTAGGCTGTCAGGTTTTCATTGAAACATGTTTGGCAAGATGAAAAAGTAAGGTAATGACTGGCCTGAGAACTATTGTGGTGAGGTGAAAAACAATCCATATTCATTCACCTTTTCCCTTAATTGTTAAGTCCATTATCATCTGACACGTGGAAAAATACATTATAAAGAAGGTCATCTGGGATGGGAGAATGTGTTGATGGGTCCATGGAGAGTATCTATTATACTGAGTGTCGTGGCTGTCAGAAGAAAAGAGTTGGGTTGTATGCTGCTTTGACCAGTATTCCAGTGTGTCAAGCAGGTCTTGGATGTTTACCACACAGGCTTGGAACGCTAAAAACTGCCATCAAGGTATATACTGTCACTGACAGGGTCTTAGTACCACAGGGGCTTGTAACGCTAAAAACTGCCATCAAGGTATATACTGTCACTGACAGGATCTTAGTACTATATAGTACTTCCTATTTTATATAGTACTAAGACCCCATCAGTGACAGTACCATATAGTACTTCCTTCTATATAGTACTAAGACCCCATCAGTGACAGTATATACCTTGATGGCAGTTTTTAGCGTTACAAGCCCCTGTGGTTTACCACTTCCATGAAACAAACAAGCACAGGTATGGTACTGACAAACCCAGAAACATAAACAGGGGAAACTCAGATCAAACCCATTGTCACATGTTCCTGGCGTGCCAAGGGATGCAACTCTGTTCGTTGATTTGCAGTACCGAAAACGACTGAGCCTCCTAAACTAGTTCATGTCAGTGAGTGAGTTCAGTTTTATGCCTTTTTTAGCAATATGACGGCAGGAGACACCAGAAATAGGCTTCACACGCTGTGCCCATGTGGGGAATTGAACCCAGGTCTTCGGTGTGACGAGCAAATGCCTTTACCACTAGGCTACCCCCCATGTCAGAGATGATACATGTTGAACTACGCATCAAAACTGATGCTGTTAATTGTTGTGTTTGCTCCATATCTGTTGCTGTATTCCTTATAGAGCCAATTGTCAGTGTAGTGTAGGGGTGTCATGATTAATCAAATTATCAATGCATTTGTCCCCAGCTTGGTGTCTAATCATCCAAGAATGTCTACATTGTACTCATCTTGCTACTGCAATACTGGTTCAACCATCAAAATATTATCTGTAGTGTTCTGAACCATTGCAATACTAATGAAAATATTTATCATGCACCTTTTTCTAGACATAAAGATCACAATATGATCATATTACCCCAGATAACCCAAGCTGCCCCTTAGGCGCTATAAGGTTAATAGTCTCATGACTTATTTCACCGGGTACCCATTTTCTGATGGGTGAACTGGGGCAATTTTGAACAAACTCACTTGCCTAAGGTGAGACCACAGGTATCACATGTGCCTCTTTATGTAAAAGAGTGAAATATCAACACAGAAATCTCTAAACTAAACAAAAGTATCTATCACAGATCAACAAATTGGCAAATGCCTCTAAAGTGGCTTCATATAACAACGCACCATTCACAACCGGTGCATACAAATACTACCCAAAACTGAAGTCCTAGAAACTTTCAGTAGTCAAGCTGCCAAACACGGTCATCCATCCAAGGACTCTTTGCGCCCAACGCTGCTTAACTTCATCTGATTTGTGACCTGAGTGCTATGCACAGGACCACCACAATAGTATTTAATATATAATACTATTGTTGTAATACACCTGAGCCTATAGTATTTACTATATAATACTATTGTTGTAATACACCTGAGCCTATAGTATTTACTATATAATACTATTGTTGTAATACACCTGGGCCTATAGTATTTACTATATAAAACTATTGTTGTAACACACCTGAGCCTATAGTATCCATAATACAATGGACAACAAGCAATAACAAGACATGAAATGGGAGGTGGTGATGTTTCATGATATGATGGAATGAAAAGGAACCACAAAGACAAAAATATAAGAGATAACTACTTACGGTTGAACACATTTATACACATTCATAGGCATATAACAATTATGTAAAAAAGTGAAATATCAACACAAAAACTCTAAACTAAACAAAAAATATCATGTATCACAGATCAACAAATTGGCAAATGCCTCTAAAGTGGCTTCATATAACACCATTCACAACCGGTGCATTCAAATACTACCAAAACTTGCTATTGGTGGTACTTTCATGTTAGTATTCCAATAATGTTCAGAAGTATCACAGAAATTCAGTACTCCATTTCGTTCCATGACGCATACTGGACGGACTTCGTTACATTGACAAGTCACATCCAGATATCTAGAGTGTATAGAAATCATAAATAAATACTATAAACAGATGTAATTTGCCCATGTCATAACTTACACAAAATCCCTGAAATCATCAAACAGACATGTTTAAAAAAAAAAATGCTGACAGGACTAGCTATCCTTTGATTAGACAAGTCATCCTGCAAACACAAAATGACTTGAGAGACAGATTGTTCCAACAGTGTTGATTCAACAAAACTGATTGTTCCAGCGGTGTGAATCCAACAATACTCATTGTTCCAACTGTGTCAGTCCAACAATACTGATTGTTTAAACGGTGTTGATGCAACATTACTGATTGTTCCAACTGTGTCAATCCAACACTACAAATGCCTTCAAATATATCATGGTAGAGACTCCATGAATTGTTTGACACAAATTTCCTCCCTTAATAAGTCCCTGACTCATGAGGATGATGTGAGGAAGACATTTCTGCCAGCATGCATATAGTTTGGCCAGAGTGAACTGAGAGCCTTCGCCTCCTGCAAGAAAACAGTTAAGGATGACAGTGGAACTCTTGATCAGACTTTGCGTTAATTGGGTATTTATTAACATAAATAATAATATCTAGATTTATCAAGAGCTGCCCAGAGTCTGATAAATGACAGTTAAGATTACCAGTTCAAATGAAAAAATATTCCCATGTAAAAACAAAATTCAAAGAAAATAGAAAAGAAAAATTCCAAATTTTCCTGACATTTTCCCAGTTTACCTTCTAAGGGTATTTAGTTTCGAATCCTAAATCAATCCCTGATAGTATTGGGATGTAAATTAGCTGGCATGCTTGTATACTCACAACAATCCTGCTTTTATCACGGACTTCTTCCATAGTAAGTGGGAGAGGTTTTGGTGGTTCATACACAACAAGCTGATGCTCCGCTTTCTTCTCTCTGTAAAGATTTTTATTTTCATTGAAGAAATGGTGTTCCTTCCTTTCTAGATGGTGAATAAAACTCCACAAGGTCATTACACAGTTACTCTTCACATGCTACACACAGCTCATTCAGTTGTTACACATTCAATAAAAAAAGAGTCGCATCACAGTCAACAATATTTCAGCAATAATGTGATGGCCTGAATCTGAGCCAGGCAGAACTATACACTGAATGCATAAGCAATGATCTATGTAGTCTGGGTAGCATGACATGCATTCAGCCAGGCGCCTGATTCCCATGTAATCAGCTCGTGACAAGCAAGAGGTACAGCAAATTCTCATCATGTATGAAAATGGGAGCAGAGTTGTGTCCGTTGGGCATGACAGAAATCTATTATAGGTTTGAATCCTGGTTTGCCTCTATTATATTTCTAGGTTTGTCTGTACCAACTCATGCTTGTGGGTTTCAGCAAAACATGGTATGACTAGAATGCTGCATTAACCAAACTGCACTCACTCATAATATGGGACACAAGATTTAAGTAGGTTTAAACACAAATATAACACTGTAAAACGATACTATTTGTAACAATACAACTTTCACTTTCTGGATTTTGTTCCACACTGACATATTCCCACACAACAGTCATCGTAGCTGCCCAATAACCATTTCAGTCTGGCGATCAATATACGGTTAACATATCTGTCTTGGAGAAATCGTGGAGGTTCAACAATCTGGTACTCACTGTCTGGGTGTTGTTGAAACAGAACTCCCTCTGCTATGTGTGCTGTGCTCGGCCATCATGGCCACCTTGGTCATTGTCGGCACACCCTCCCTCTCTGATTCACGACCAGAGATAGGTGGGAGGCGCTGGCTGGCAGGGGGTAGGGACGGGGCAGCTTCATGAGTCTCCCAGTAATAATCTGATATCTGAGCAAATAAAGCATATCATAGCATGACATGACGGACACAGATGGAGTAACATGTATAAGTATAACATCCACACATCCTTATCATCTTTGAATACATTGGTTGTGAAATATTTTGAAAAATGAGCATGAAATGGGAAGGAGTCAATGCCACATTCAAGAATATTTCACTTCCATAGCGATGTGCATGTGTAAGTCTGGCAGCTTGTACTATTCAGGACTATTCCCCTTTATCCTTTGGTATGATGTGACCAGGGGATCACGCCACCAATCTTCTTCAGACAGGTGCTCTATGCACTACACTGAAGGCAGGTGTTCTGTGCACTACACTGAAGGCAGGTGCTCTATGCACTACACTGAAGGCAGGTGTTCTGTGCACTACACTGAAGGCAGGTGCTCTATGCACTACACTGAAGGCAGGTGTTCTATGCACTACACTGAAGGCAGGTGTTCTATGCACTACACTGAAGGCAGGTGTTCTATGCACTACACTGAAGGCAGGTACTCTATGCACTACACTGAAGGCAGGTGTTCTGTGCACTACACTGAAGACAGGTGCTCTATGCACTACACTGAAGACAGGTGTTCTGTGCACTACACTGAAGGCAGGTGTTCTGTGCACTACACTGAAGGCAGGTGTTCTATGCACTACACTGAAGGCAGGTGTTCTATACACTACACTGAAGGCAGGTGTTCTGTGCACTACACTGAAGGCAGGTACTCTATGCACTACACTGAAGGCAGGTGTTCTGTGCACTACACTGAAAGCAGGTGTTCTATGCACTACACTGAAGGCAGGTGTTCTGTGCACTACACTGAAGGCAGGTGTTCTGTGCACTACACTGAAGGCAGGTGTTCTATGCACTACACTGAAGGCAGGTACTCTATGCACTACACTGAAGGCAGGTGTTCTGTGCACTACACTGAAGGCAGGTGTTCTATGCACTACACTGAAGGCAGGTGTTCTATGCACTACACTGAAGGCAGGTGTTCTGTGCACTACACTGAAGGCAGGTGTTCTATGCACTACACTGAAGGCAGGTGTTCTATGCACTACACTGAAGGCAGGTGTTCTGTGCACTACACTGAAGGCAGGTACTCTATGCACTACACTGAAGGCAGGTGTTCTGTGCACTACACTGAAGGCAGGTGCTCTATGCACTACACTGAAGGCAGGTGCTCTATGCACTACACTGAAGACAGGTGCTCTGTGCACTACACTGAAGACAGGTGTTCTGTGCACTACACTGAAGGCAGGTGTTCTGTGCACCACACTGAAGGCAGGTGTTCTATGCACTACACTGAAGGCAGGTGTTCTATGCACTACACTGAAGGCAGGTGTTCTATGCACTACACTGAAGGCAGGTACTCTATGCACTACACTGAAGGCAGGTGTTCTGTGCACTACACTGAAGACAGATGCTCTATGCACTACACTGAAGACAGGTGTTCTGTGCACTACACTGAAGGCAGGTGTTCTGTGCACTACACTGAAGGCAGGTGTTCTATGCACTACACTGAAGGCAGGTGTTCTATGCACTACACTGAAGGCAGGTACTCTATGCACTACACTGAAGGCAGGTGTTCTGTGCACTACACTGAAGGCAGGTACTCTATGCACTACACTGAAGGCAGGTGTTCTGTGCACTACACTGAAGACAGGTGCTCTATGCACTACACTGAAGACAGGTGTTCTGTGCACTACACTGAAGGCAGGTGTTCTGTGCACTACACTGAAGGCAGGTGTTCTATGCACTACACTGAAGGCAGGTGTTCTATACACTACACTGAAGGCAGGTGTTCTGTGCACCACACTGAAGGCAGGTACTCTATGCACTACACTGAAGGCAGGTGTTCTGTGCACTACACTGAAGGCAGGTGTTCTATGCACTACACTGAAGGCAGGTGTTCTGTGCACTACACTGAAGGCAGGTGTTCTATGCACTACACTGAAGGCAGGTGTTCTATGCACTACACTGAAGGCAGGTACTCTATGCACTACACTGAAGGCAGGTGTTCTGTGCACTACACTGAAGGCAGGGTGTTCTATGCACTACACTGAAGGCAGGTGTTCTATGCACTACACTGAAGGCAGGTGTTCTGTGCACTACACTGAAGGCAGGTGTTCTATGCACTACACACTGAAGGCAGGTGTTCTATGCACTACACTGAAGGCAGGTGTTCTGTGCACTACACTGAAGGCAGGTACTCTATGCACTACACTGAAGGCAGGTGTTCTGTGCACTACACTGAAGGCAGGTGCTCTATGCACTACACACTGAAGGCAGGTGCTCTATGCACTACACTGAAGACAGGTGCTCTGTGCACTACACTGAAGACAGGTGTTCTGTGCACTACACACTGAAGGCAGGTGTTCTGTGCACTACACTGAAGGCAGGTGTTCTATGCACCACACTGAAGGCAGGTGTTCTATGCACTACACACTGAAGGCAGGTGCTCTATGCACTACACTGAAGGCAGGTGCTCTATGCACTACACTGAAGGCAGGTGCTCTATGCACTACACTGAAGGCAGGTGTTCTATGCGCACTACACTGAAGGCAGGTACTCTATGCACTACACTGAAGGCAGGTGTTCTGTGCACTACACTGAAGGCAGGTGTTCTATGCACTACACTGAAGGCAGGTGTTCTATGCACTACACTGAAGGCAGGTGCTCTATGCACTACACTGAAGGCAGGTGTTCTATGCACTACACTGAAGGCAGGTGTTCTATGCACTACACTGAAGGCAGGTACTCTATGCACTACACTGAAGGCAGGTGTTCTGTGCACTACACTGAAGGCAGGTGTTCTATGCACTACACTGAAGGCAGGTGTTCTATGCACTACACTGAAGGCAGGTACTCTATGCACTACACTGAAGGCAGGTGTTCTGTGCACTACACTGAAGGCAGGTGTTCTATGCACTACACTGAAGGCAGGTGTTCTATGCACTACACTGAAGGCAGGTGTTCTGTGCACTACACTGAAGGCAGGTGTTCTATGCACTACACTGAAGGCAGGTGTTCTATGCACTACACTGAAGGCAGGTGTTCTGTGCACTACACTGAAGGCAGGTACTCTATGCACTACACTGAAGGCAGGTGTTCTGTGCACTACACTGAAGGCAGGTGCTCTATGCACTACACTGAAGGCAGGTGCTCTATGCACTACACTGAAGACAGGTGCTCTGTGCACTACACTGAAGACAGGTGTTCTGTGCACTACACTGAAGGCAGGTGTTCTGTGCACTACACTGAAGGCAGGTGTTCTATGCACTACACTGAAGGCAGGTGTTCTATGCACTACACTGAAGGCAGGTGCTCTATGCACTACACTGAAGGCAGGTGCTCTATGCACTACACTGAAGGCAGGTGCTCTATGCACTACACTGAAGGCAGGTGCTCTATGCACTACACTGGGAAGGCAGGTGCTCTATGCACTACACTGAAGGCAGGTGCTCTATGCACTACACTGAAGGCAGGTGCTCTATGCACTACACTGAAGGCAGGTGCTCTATGCACTACACTGAAGGCAGGTGCTCTATGCACAACACTGAAGGCAGGTGCTCTATGCACTACACTGATAATCTCAGTGAAACATTGTATGCTAGGTTTCAGTTGATGACAACCATTAAGTTTGCCTGACCGTGAAATTCAGCTAAACCTGAATCGGTTTAAATGTTAATATCCAAATACAAATAACTTCTAACTCACAAGATCTGTTAAATCAGGTCCATCCAACAAGAAAGCAAGGTCTGAGTGCTTGTCTAAGATTCTGAAAAAACAAACAATAATCAGTATAAATAACTTCAGATACATGTTACACATATCATAAGGTCTACAAGGAAGGAAGCAGAAAGATTGTTTTATATCTGACTTCTTTATATCACTTTAATCATATGTATCTTATCAAATATAGGAAGGGAGAACAACAAAAAGTTTCAATGATAATTAAAATAATGTTATGGTAATACTGCTTTTGGATACATTTCTCCATTTTTAAGGAAGTTCTTTGAACATAACTGAAAATATAATATACATATGAGTACATATTAGTTCTGACAAATTGAAAATATAGTTAAGCTCACATGTAGACTAGGCTCTATAGAGCTACTATACCCATATATTAACCATATTATGCAATACCCAGCACTATGTTAAAGTAAAATGCCTCTATCTGACAGTGTTAGTAGTCTACAATGTTCTGTTACCTGTACCCTGCATACCCTCTTGCATTACTGCACACTAATACCGGTTTTCTCAGTTTAGAAGACAAGAAATGTCTACAAGTCACTAATGGAAGCAATCTGATGGCACATGTAGTAGGAATTTCTTGTGTATTAACCAATCTGCTACTAAACAATATTCAGTGGATGAAGGTCAGCTCAGAAAAATCATACATGTCATGTGTTCTACGAGAAAGCTGTTTATATTTGTAAAATAATAAATTTCGCCCCTTCACCGTCATTGCTTTCAAGAATTACAGTAATTATTTCTTGAATTCTTACCAATATATCACATACCATTTCTTAAGATCACTATCTAGATGTGTCCTTTGTTAGAGAACTAGCTTCTTAGACTAAACACAATGCAGTAACCAAACTATTACCTGACAATTCCACAGTTTGAACCTTACAATTCTAGCTAAACATGGATAAACATGATCTACATCTATTTAGAATTGAAGCACATCTGACCTCACTAAGACTTCTGAATACTCATAAACCACCGGCGGAACCAGCTTGTGGTGTGTCAACACACACACACACACACACACGCACACGCACACGCTGCACTTGCCTACACGCACTGCACACCACACACACACACACACACACACACACACCCACACACACACACACACACACACACACACACACACACCCCTTTCTTTCCCGACTCCTCAAATGTTCCCAGCATCCTTGGCCAGGTCACATCATGACTTGGGTATTATGTGCACCCACCCTTTCTCAATATCCTGGATCCGCCTGTACGAGTTATTACAAAACTAAGGACAAGTTATCAACTAAGCAGATTTAAACTTCACCATATGGTACCAGATACCTCAGATTCTTTAATGAACTGAAACATGGAATACACTTTGTTAATTTCTTACATTCTGAGTATTTTCAGGTATACTCTGTCAGCTTGAGATTTTAAATTACAAAAAAGGTTACATGCCAAGAGGAATGACAGATTGTTTTAATTTTAAGAAGGAAAGTGATTTGGTAAAGAACTGACAGTTGCTGTCAGCATTCATATTCAAATAAGTTCTACATAAATACTGAGGACTAACATGAACGAGTATGGTTTTATGCCACTTTTAGCAACATTCCAGCAATATCAAGGTGAGTGACACCAGAAATGGGCTCCATACATCGTACCCCTGGAGGGACTTGGACCTGAGTCTTCGATGTGACAAACAAACGCTTTAACCACAAGACTATCCCAACATCCCACTGAGTACTAAATAACAACACTAATTCTTTAACAAAATATAATTTCATCTTAAGGAGACACATGCATGAGGGCTTCCCATGCTACATCATGGTGACAGTCAGTCATTAGTGAGTGTTGTTATAACACCAGCAGCAGTCATTCTGCTGTATAACAGCAGTTCTGTTTGGTGTTTAATGCTGCACTCAGCAATAATTCAGCATATAATAGAGGTCTGTAAACAACTGAGTCCAGACCACATAATACTGACTGACTGAGTTTGGTTTTACGCCGCTTTTAGCAATATTCCAGCAATATCATGGCGGGGGACACCAGAAATGGGCTTCACTCATTGTACCCATGTGGGGATTCGAACCCGGGTCTTCGGCGTGACGAACCAACGCTTTAACCACTAGACTACCCCACCGCCCCAGACCACACAATAAGTTATTTATGGGTAAACTGACTGCATCAACCAAGTCTGTGTGCATGAAATCACATGTGACAAATGACCCATTTAGGAGTTGCTTGGTGATGATGCTTTCAGAAATTACACTGCTGTGTTCCACCTGTGTGTACCTGTACAACAGTACAGGTAAATATAAAGCCCATAATCTCATCCAAAAATATATTTTAAATGAGTGAGTTTAGTTTTACACCACACTCAGCAATATTCCAGCTACAGTCAACTCTCGTTAATCCGACACTCATTAATCCGACAATCACGTTAATCCGAAAAAAAATTAGGGAACCATTTATGCTGATATGCGGTAAAAACAAACGTGAGTTTTGTGCCAATGTGGTCATGAAATAGATATGAAACTGTTCGCTTACGTGATTATATATGTATGTTATGCCATCTATGAATGTTAATAAATGATAACAAGTATGTATTGTAAGTATTTTTTATTTCTGTGAATATTTTTACGTACGATGAAGATAACTAGATCTGCCATTTCTGATATGCATGCAACAGTAGGACGATCATGACATTTAGTAAACATTGATATTTTCACACAAATACATTAATCCGACATTTTCATTAATCCGACATTTCCGTTAATCCGACATATTTCTCTGCAACCACAAGTGTCGGATTAACGAGAGTTGACTGTATATGGTGGCGATCTGTAAATAATCGAGGCTGGACCAGACAATCCAGTGATCAACAGCATGAGCATCAATCTACGCAACTCGGATACGATGATGGGTCAACCAAGTCAGCGATCCTGACCACCCGATCCCGTTAGTCGCCTCTTAGGACAAGCATGGGTTGGTGGAGATCAATTCTAACCCGGGTACATTTTATATGACAGTTGCAGAACCTGTTTTGGCAAAAACTCAGCATCTCATCTCATGAATAACTGCATACCGTACATGACTACAGATAAACTGAGGCATTAACTTGACTCTTAAAACCTCAATCCAAACATTATGTCCCTAATATAAGCCAAACTGAGTAGAAGTGCAAACTCGGACCGCAAGACGACTGACAGTTATTCACGAGTATATCATGTAAAACAAAAGCTTCTTCAAAAAGTGATAACATTCGTAGAGGACAGAGGTTGCAATGCCACCTGTGTTTACCTGGTTGCTGCAGCACTGTTGGCCATGGCAAGCTGGTGCATCTTGTGTAACTTCTTCAAGAACTTGCGTCTCTGTTTTTCCTTTGCCTTCAAGTCTATCTTCAGTTGTATCTGTCATGATGACATGGAGAGTTGTGTGAATACACGACATATATGTATATTGACAAATTATGTGCTCAGGATTCCATCTATCGTGAGATATTCATGAGAACTGAGTATGTACTGATTGGCCAAAGGAACGTTTGTATAATTTCCTGTTTGTTTGGGGGTCAATATGAGCTGGGCAAGTGACATTTTCATGTGGACTATCACTTTCACCTTTATTTAGATGGCAACACTGTTGTAAATATTTTCAAACCCTGATGTGGCAGACAAAAACAGTCATCACTACATTCCATCAAATAGTCAGCTGCCACTAGTCTAATGCTGGTGTAGACTAATGCTTTTCTCTGAATATATATAATTTTGACAGAAACAAATAATTCCTTTTAAATTTAAAAGAAGCCCTAATCGGATGGGAAGTTTAGGAACCTGGGAAATCTGGATTTGTTTCATTTAGGGCTTTAGCACTCCAGAAAGGTCTAGGAGTAAGGAAAATAACATGTTATGGTTCAGGGACTGTGAGACCAGTTAACGCTGCTGCAGCAGCCAGGCGTACCTCTTCGGGGTCTGGTGGCTTCTTTCCCAGGTCCATGGTGAAGCAGTGGAGGGGCGGCATCTCCAGCTGTGGGACAGAAGGAAGCAGACGTCACAACAGTCATCATTGGGGTACAAACCGTTCATGTATAGACATGTCACTGACTAATGGCAATTCTTTTTGATCATAGGGATTTTGAGTAAAATCTAGCAATTATTAAAAAAGCACCATGCATTAACAAACATGGAAACTATATGGTCTGGATGTCCCATATCAAGCTGACATGCAGTGACATAAATGTTATACTGTTCAATGTGGAAATAAACTCAACTCACTCCCATGTTAAAACATCCCTTGTCAGACAACTTTCTCTTATATTTGATTTTTTGGGCCTCTTTTAGCATAACTCCAGAAATGTGGCAAAGACACTAAGAATGACCTTGTACCGTAAGGGACCAAAATATGTCTTCAAGAGACACAGAATGCTTTGGCCACTACACGTCTGAATTATGTCCTACCTTGGGAAACCTCTTCTCCAGGTCGATGGCTGCTTGTCTGGAAGGGCTGAGTGATGGAGACTCAATAGCCTGGCCAGGGAGAAACACAATGTCACATCCTTGCTCATTAAACAATATAGCCATATGATTGGCCAATCTAGCCATATGGTTGACCAATCACTGTCTTATACCGATATCCTGACATCACTATGTTTGATATGACATCACTTGTTTACCATCACTATGTTTGATATGACATCACTTGTTTACCATCACTATGTTTGATATGACATCACTTGTCTACCATCACTGTTTAATATGACATCGTTTGTCTACCATCACTGTTTGATATGACATCACTTGTTTACCATCACTATGTTTGATATGACATCACTTGTTTACCATCACTATGTTTGATTTGACATCACTTGTTTACTATCACTATGTTTGATATGACATCACTATGTTTGATATGACATCACTTGTTTACTATCACTATGTTTGATATGACATCACTATGTTTGATATGACATCACTTGTTTACCATCACTGTTTGATATGACATCACTTGTTTACCATCACTGTTTGATATGACATCACTTGTTTACCATCACTATGTTTGATATGACATCACTTGTTTACTATCACTATGTTTGATGACATCACTTGTTTACTATCACTATGTTTGATATGACATCACTTGTTTACCATCACTATGTTTGATATGACATCACTTGTTTACCATCACTGTTTGATATGACATCACTTGTTTACCATCACTGTTTGATATGACATCACTTGTTTACCATCACTATGTTTGATATGACATCACTTGTTTACCATCACTATGTTTGATATGACATCACTTGTTTACCATCACTATGTTTGATATGACATCACTTGTTTACTTTCACTATGTTTGACATGACATCACTTGTTTACCATCACTATGTTTGATACGACATCACTTGTTTACCATCACTATGTTTGATATGACATCACTTGTTTATCATTTCTCCATTTGGACATTGACTTGTTACTACACTTTGTAGCTACAAGTTAGTATCAAAAACTTTCCTATCAAGCATCACAGAGATAGTGTCATTAGAGCTATGAAAGACCCTGTCTGAACTTTGAGCTTCTACACTAAAAGTCTAATTACAGTCACACAATGGATCTAACTGTCACACAAAAGAATTCCACCAAAACGATTCCTTGTAACTTCTGAGTGATAACTTTTGTTATGTGTCAAAAGCAAGTTATACACTGTTTTAGGGGCTGAAAGTTCTTGTACATGTGTCAACTTTTAGTCTTGTGGTGTTAGGCCTATTCAGCTGGTAAAATCCTGTACATCTCAGAACACTATCCCGACACATAATGTTAATCTCATGACCTTCTATGAAGGAACTGGCAGGTCCTGAGAGAGGAAAATATAGAATAAGAGTAAGAGATATTTTTGGAAAAAGCACTATACACCAGAAAATAAGGAAGTATACGATCGTCCCAAACTGTTCTGCTGACCTGGTGTATGTGGCTATATCTCTGTGTGACGGCCCAGGTGTCGTGAGTGGTGGGTCGCGACGATTCCTTCGACTCCGCAATCTGACTGAGAGAGCGAGTGTGTTCCCTCGCTGGGGACTGCGTGGCAGACGTCACAATGTTCTGGTGGAAGCTGGAGGTGGCAGCAAGACCGTCTACATTCAAAAACAGAAACACTCACTTACAGGAGAACTAGCTTCGGGCAAATGGCAGGACCTATGATGTTTCAATCAAGGCATACAAATAGTACCATGTGTGATAACTCAAATAGTGTTTGTGTATCAACGCACCAGCTGCAAATTATCGAGGCACAATGTGTCACCTCACACAAAGCATTAGCTTCAATATCTAGACACCAAATATGGTCAAATGATCATAAAGAAATTGTTTCTAACCATAACTGACCCAGGAATGAAACCGGTCTTTGACATGTCAAGGAAACTGAAACCACCAGACTCCTCACCATCCACCGCCATTAGTCTAAAACCTGAGTTGGTAAAAGTATGTTTGGGCTACTAAGCTCAACTAATACTATTCCATACATTAAAAAGGAAATTCTAGATATGAAGGCTCAGACGCTTGCCCAGACCTGGGAAGTGAGAGAAGAAGACTTGTGGTTTCCTCATCTCCAGCCAGAACCTGTCCAGGTCGTCCTGACCTCGTAGCTTCCCCTCCTTCAGCATCTTCTCCTGCAGGCCGAGGATCTGGAGGAGAGGACATGGGATACAGTAGGGGGACACTGACTGGTAATGAAGAGGAACACTAGAGGAGAAGACATGGGATACAGTAGGGGGACACTGACTGGTAATGAAGAGGAGGTGGGGTGGGGGTGGGGCAGGGGACACTTTTAAAGGTAACTGGTTTTGAGGGAAAGAGGGAATGTTGCAGTATCAGCAATCCTGGTCCTGCTCTCAGTGATTAACCTAACTTGGATAATTATGTCGGCTTAGTTGTGAGATCAGTTAAACTGGTCAACCCAAAGTGATGCAGGCCACATCTGAAGGATACCTATATATTCAATGGTCGGAAGTATTGACAGTCCAAGGATCAAAATCGGGTCAATCAAGGATTCAAACATTTGTAGTCTAGCATGATGAAGGTAAGCCAGTCTGTATGACAAATTGTTTCACATAGGCTACATTTGACCACTTTGTGTGTTCAGATTGCTTTAGCTCAGACACAAGAACCATCCACCAATTTCCATTCTCCGTGGACTATTCCATGTTGCTAGTGGTGTGGAGCCCTCTTGTAAGACATTGATAGTCATATGATTCACTCATGGCCTACTGTTTGGAAAAAAGACAAGCAGCAAATAGTTATCTCAACTCAAGTTTAAACTTTCAAGATAGACATCTGACTTGGGAATATTCTTCATGTAACTGTCATCATGCTGCAGTTTGTGATGCTCGTGACGTTTTTTCACATGATGATTTGCTTCTCGCTGCAATAACAAAACAATCTCTTCATATATAACCTTTTCCTATCACATGAAGGGAGTAATCCTTAAAGGATTCTGACCTGTCAGACGTTGCAATCCAAGGAAAATACCTCAATGATACAGCCCTGTCTCCCTTACTAAAGGAACATCTTCCCCAAGGGTCTCCCCTACATGTCAGTCATGCATGCCATGCTACACTATGTCATGGGTACAGACAGATACTACAGAATTTGGTCCGCCATGTCACAGCTATGCCTACTTCCTCTAACCACCCACCATCATGGCTACAGTTGCTACAGACTTCAGTCAACTTGGTAGGACAATGCCTCCCCCACCCACCCATGGCTACCTACAGACTTCACCCCAGGGCCTCCCACCCACCCACCATCATGGCTACAGTTGCTACAGACTTCAGTCAACTTGGCAGGGCTATGTCCTACACCCACTGTCATGGCTACAGTTGCTATAGGCTTCAGTCAACTTGGTAGGGCAATGCCCCCTTCCACCCACCCACCATCATGGCTACAGTTGCTACAGACTTCAGTCAACTTGGTAAGGCAATGGCCCCCACCCACCATCATGGCTACAGTTGCTACAGACTTCAGTCAACTTGGTAGGACAATGCCCCCCTCTCCTCCCACCCACCCACCATCATGGCTACAGTTGATACAGACTTCAGTCAACTTGGCAGGGCAATGCCCCCACGCACCATCATGGCTACAGACTTCAGTCAACTTGGCAGGACAATGCCCCCACCCACCATCATGGCTACAGTTGCTACAGACTTTCATCAACTTGGCACAGCAATGCGCTCCCACCCACCTCCTTGTCCTCCTTTAACTGCTGTTTCTTCAGCTGAGCCTCGTTCTTCAGACGGATGTCTTTCCGTTGCTGTGTGACCTTGGTGTCCAGCTTGTCCCTGTACTCCTGGTAGTAGTAGTTCCTCAGCTTCTTCAAGTCCTCCAGCACCTGCATGTGCTTCTGCAACACACACATCCCTAACATTACACCCGTAGCCTGTCAGGATCATTGAGCTCACACACTTCCCTAACATTACACCCAGAGCCTGTCAGGATCATTGAGCTCACACACGTCCCTAACATTACACCCAGAGCCTGTCAGGATCATTGAGCTCACACACTTCCCTAACATTACACCCGTAGCCTGTCAGGATCATTGAGCTTCCACACGTCCCTAACATTACACCCAGAGCCTGTCAGGATCATTGAGCTCACACACGTCCCTAACATTACACTCGTAGCCATTTCAGGATCATTGAGCTTCCACACGTCCCTAACATTACACCAGTAGCCTGTCAGGATCATTGAGCTCACACACGTCCCTAACATTACACCCGTAGCCTGTCAGGATCATTGAGCTCACACACGTCCCTAACATTACACCAGTAGCCTGTCAGGATCATTGAGCTTTCAGGGGCGGATACAGCTTTTTGAGAAAGGGCCGAGGGAGTGCAGGATCTTGAGACAGCGGAGGGGTGCACACTTCATTTTCACAAGAGTTTCAGAGATGCACACCCTACATCCCCATTCTGAATCCGCCTATGGCTCCCACACGTCACTCTCATTTCCATTTTAGAACCTATACAACACAAACAGTCTAGAAGACCATCACATGTTCATGAGTTCTCATTTAATCAGGACAAACATATTTCAAGAATGTATACAATGAAATAGCATAAAAGAAAACAGTAAAAAAAAACTTTTCTTTATTTGTCCTAGTATGAGTGAAATACATGGTACTTCTACAAAGCCATAAACTTTGTTATTACTTGTATTGGGTAATGTATTTTTCCAATGTGGCAATATTAACATTTGCTGCAGACTTGGGGCCAAACATCATCCCCTGAGCAGTCTGGATAAATCACTGCAGAAACTACCACTGGTAGTCACTGCCTGAGAGCTGACCATATTATTTTCCACTCTTATTTTCATTATTAAAAGGACAACTGATAACGGTGTGAAAAAATGTAAAATCTTTACTATTTTGGTTTAATGCACACACTAAACATGCTAAAGATCACAAAAACTGGCTGTGGTGCACCGATAGACGGATATACTTCAACCCATCAAAGACGGAACTTTGTAAGCATACCTCCTCCTTCAGTTTTTCCTTCTCTCTATCCTTCTCATCATCACTGTAAAATGTGGTTGATCTCTTCCTCTTCTTTTCCTTTTGTTCCCTTGCAGCTCGCGCCTACAAATAACATAGTGAATCTGGATCAGGTACAGTCTTTTTGGTGTAGATGACAGGGTGTATGAAATATTCATGACAATATATCCATGCAGCTATATTTGTTTGCATTCGGAGGTCCCTGGTTCTATCTATACAGCTCTGATATTGTAGAAGCCTCCTCACTGACAATGTGACACAACTTCAGGCAGAGGCATCCTCAGGTCTTTATGCAGAGGTGTGTCACATCACAAGCCAAAATGTGGCATTAACGAAACTGTATATTTAACAAATAAACAAGCAAAAGGTTGATGGATGAGACCATGAAGTGCAATACGATTAAATGGGGTTTAACATATCAGTCAGTATTATTACACTGCTACAAATATGTGCATCCACAGATGTGTATGTGGCTGCTTGTACTGGCCAGGCTAATGTCAGGTGTAGTTTTAACTCATGCTGCAGGTAAACATGGATACCCAACTCAGACACATTATAGTGACCCTGAGCTAACCAATTCCCTTGTGTCCCCACATGGAGACAAGCATGGATGTAGCCTGTCATGAGGTTATTACCTTAGCTCGTGCCTGTTTTCTTTCATCCAACCCGTATTCTGTGAGGGGCGTGGGGAGACTTGGCTTGTGGGGCGATGGCCTTCTTTTCACTTTAGACAAATCTACCTGAACTGCTGGTCTGTTTGACTTCCCTCTAGAATGTGCCTTGAAGCAAAGGAAATACATATTGTAGAAAACAACTTCTAAATACTACTACTTTGCAGGAAATTACATGTCATTGAGAATTAATTAAATAAGTCCTTACCAATAGAGAAAAACTTTCCACATTTTCTACTTCTAAAAGAAAATTCAAATTTTTTTTGAGGATATTCCATATTTGAAAAAATGTTTTAAGAAAATAGATATTGCCTAACATACTGTTTATAAGAAGTTATTATGACAAGGATTTAAATGATACCACATGGACAAAGTCCACAGACGAGATTTCCCAAATCCTGTTAACAAAGTTATAATCAATGTTGTGGCTTTGTGGAGGTGGTAAGTATTTTACGCACAAAAGGATCTAAAAAGTGGATAAAGTGTTATTGTATAGTTTTGTATACAAATGTATTATTGCATGATATCCAATGTAAAAACAGATTCAAAACAATCCAATAAATTAGCATCCACACCGAAACATCACATCTATTGCAATAAAGTAGTTGTCTAACCACAAAAATTGTTCCTCCTCATTTTTAAAGAAGTATAGAGTACAGAGTTTAAGAGTTGTTGTTTTAAGTGAAACCAATGTTGATATAAACATGTGTATCATGTGTATACTCAAAGCCTACAGTACAACATCTTTACATGAACAAGATGAATTATGGGACATTGTAGGTTTTACTATTTCTTCCTGCAGAAGAATACATCATCATCAGTAACCATCAGATATAGTAACATATCAAATTCTTTGAAGTTCAAACATTCCATAAATATAATTATGTTTATGAACTGATATACTAAGATTACAACACTTTTCTATTAACCTCTTTTTGACAGAAACCTATTCTGAGACAGACAATATTTACATTCTTAACATTTTGATGAATTCTTACTTTTGATGAATAATTAATTTGTATTGTTCAATTTGTCGACTCATCCAATTTTCAGAGAAATTATCAGCCAAAATGTTTGTCAATTGATTGATGTCCTTTAGGCAGATGAGCATAGTAGAATTCAGTCATCCTTTGGAATTAAGAGGGGAAAAAAAATCTTCCTAATCATGCTAATGGTGCTCGCAATAATCATGGCAAAAATATTCAACGATTATTGATATGACCAGAGTGTCACCAATAATATCTAACATAAACTATTGTGATGTCTGAAGTTTAAATTTACTCACACAAAACACTCTCCATCTGTATTCAGATTATTTAAATTATGTTCTGATTGTTGTCATTTTAGTAATGCATAAAAATGTGTCACCACTCACCAGTGACCTGAAATCCGAAAAATGTTGATTTCTTCGTCCTTCTTTTGCATTCTAGCACCAAAATATTTTCCCGATATTTATTTAAAATCAATGAATACTTAGTTATCGATACGTTATTTAGTTTACCTATCTGTGTAATCTGTGATGTATGGTCTGTATCAATAGCCAGCTAATGTAGACGTTTCTTGCATATGTGTTTGTTTACGTTATCAGGCTAGGTTTGGCGAGTCAAAGAATCAGTTCGTTCTATGTGTTCGTCTTGTGTACTCCAGAATATCCATCACAAACGAAGCTTCGGGTTACCTTCTTTGGCAATTGTGGTTTCTGTCCTGGGCTCTCTGCATTCTTGTTATTTTCTGCATCTGGTGATAGATTTTCATCGTCTGTTTTGGCTAACTCGTCCTCTGAGTCCGCCATTTTAGTTGATACAGTTTCCCGGACTACAGCCTCGCTTTGAAAACAAGGGCCATAACTACTATGCAACTGAAATTTTGACGACTTGAAATTACAAGCATCATTATTAACAGTTCGAGCCATCGTATCCGATGTCTCGGTAAGAAAATGTTTGGTTTGTATATATTTGAAAATATATGGGAACGCGTCATCAAATAGTTCAGTATATATACAGTGACTATCTTATTTGGCATGGCCAAGCGGGAGTAATTATGTTTATCGTTTCAGATTAATGAACTGCTGTCTCTACAGTTGTTATCACCCACTTGAAATATAATCGAATGATCGTATAAACAATACCAGTGATGTGCAGTGATTATTAACACTGAAAACTCTGTCTGGACCTGACTAGCAATCGAAATTAGAACCGTTTACGTTCCTTCTCCTATTTGAAGCGCTCGTAAAATACCCATTTCGACCCATCTTTTTAACCAAGTATAACCAAACATATTCAATGAAACAAACATAATAGCTTTTTTAAATGTACATCTATACACATTAACTCACAGAAATGAAAATGTTACCATGAATATTTCTTTTGAATTTTTCTCCTCGCCGACACCATGATATATGCTGTTCTTCCTTCAGATTGCATTTTTCCCAGCTTGATAAGAGAGCGTTTCTTAGAAAGTGTTTCACGGCCTGAATTCCATCAAACATGATTATAACACCCACACTCTCACTGACGTTATATTGGGAATATTGTTCAGATATGACGTTCTCAAGTAAAGGCTCTTGTCCACCGTTCATCCATGCTTTCTTCCATAGCGACAGCTAACAGCCAGCGACAATGAAGTGACCATCGACATTGCATGTTTTATTGCTGTAACTAATTTATAAATTACCTTGACGCTGTATATATAAATAAAAAGAAAAACATTTACATTTTAAAAATATATGCGCCAATTACTTCTTCATATTTTGAATCGATCAACTTACTTTTGCAACATCGTAAAAGCACATCCTTACAAAATCATACCTTTATGATAATCTTAGCTTTCAGACTGACTGGATGAACAAAGATCTAAGTGCTGTGTTTAGTTATGCCCATAAATTTCTCCCCAAAATTTCAGTAGCTTTTAACTCAGTAAGACACAACGTCTTTACCTGTGTTCCTTCAAGCGTGACCACGAGGCTGCGCCGTATCACTGTGTATACGCGAGATCTGAAGAAAAGAGACGCACTGACACCTCCGGCGCTTACTTTATGAGTGTTTAATATCTCACATAATATATTCGATCAGCTTGACAAATTTCACCCAAGAAGCATGACAACTGCATCTACCCAACGTTGTCATTTATCAAGCGTTTTGCTTGTCACGTTCTTCAACGTTTTTTACGTCACACGATTGGGACGCTTTAAAAGAGCCACGCGCCGTTGAATTGCTATCTGTCAGGACGATAATGACTCTCGCCCATCCGAATGGTTTTATGCGCGAGAAATGCCTTTTGGAATGCTTGGCTATCATCACTGTTGTTGTCAGTGTTCGACTTAGCGAGAGCATACGGCACATCTGGGTCAGCGAACAGCGGTTCCCGGACACAATATTATTACTTAGATTCAAAAGAATCTCTCATGCATATATATTGAGATTTTCATCTTTCGTACGGTGAGAAACATAATCCGTAAGAGTTATCTTTCTTTGGCTTATTTGTGTACAAACCGCCAGAGGGCATTACATGATTGCGTCGTCTGCTCTTTCCCGCGCGTGGATCTTGTAGCCCAAGGCATCCTGAGTTATTAACACGATTTATGGCAATACTTAAATCAAGTTTTAGTTTAAAAGTTATTTTTTAAATATACCCCTTCATATCTCAATGCTGCTGTTACATGATTTTGAACAGAGTTGGGTGAAGCACTTCTCCCGATGAAGCCGTCTAGCAGCACGTGACTGACAATCCAGTTATTGATTTTGAAACAGAGGAATAACGACAGTAGGCTTGTTGGGAAACAAATCATTACGAACGATACATCTCAATTACATTTGTATCCCAAACAAACACGTGCTCCTGTTTGCATCATATATCAAATCAACGAGTAGGCAGTGTTTGCTAAGAAGTTAGAAGTTTCAAAAGTTTTGGTGAGTCGAGCTGTTGGGTGGATTATATAGTTGTGGTTGAGAGTATGGCTGTAATTTGTCGTTTAGCATGTAGAGCGTGGAAGATTGCAGTTGTCGTCTTGTGAACTGTTTGTGCTCATCTGATGCCGGTATAGAAGTTTGCGCCTCCTCTAGAATAGAAGCTGTGGACACTTGTTTGTCGTTCTTTGACTCCAGGTTCCCCTTTCATACCAATCGCCCGCCGTAGGACGAGCAAATAGGTTGCAAAGAAAGAACCGGAATGGTCCGCCTAAATGTGAACAAGTTTGAATGAATACGGCCATTATTACGATGGAAGAATGAGTCCCCGGTTGATCAACGATTGAAAGGCGGTAGTCGAGAAAAGTGGACAGAGGCAGTGATTGACACATAACAAGGTGAGTGATGGGCCTGGCTGTGTACGCTGAGAGGGAAGGGGGCGGAGCTACCAAGAATAACACTAACGCTTATTGGCTCACAGCCGTGTGAAACCGAGCACTGATGAATCCGACAGTGTAGCCTGTTTTCAATGCATCCACGAATGATTCTCTCACAGATTTCATGTAGCCTCGGTCGATGCGGTGCGTGTTTTGTGTCCCGTCTTCATTGAGAGGGAGTCCTAAGTTAAGGACCCGATGCATGGATGTACCCTAAACGCCGTGAGTACCCAGAGACCATCATGGAACTCGCCATGACAGCGTTAGAAGAAGAGGTCGGGAGCCCCGCGGTCTGTTAGAGAGAGAGAGACAGTGAACGAGGCCCCCTCTCTTTACAACCGCTTGACTAGCAGTTTATTATTGCGTTTACGGAGTACACTATCAGCAGAAATGGGCACTTACTTGGCAGTCTACGTGTTGTTAGTGGTCTTCCTGGGCCCGGTACTACTGACCAAAGTGCCCGGAGTTGCTACCTCGGAAGCTGTGAGAACGTGTGAGCCCATCAAGTTTGACATGTGCAAGGGCCAGGGGTACAACGTGACTGGCATGCCCAACTTGGTCGACCACAAGGACCAGAAAGACGCCAGCCTTCAGTTACAAACATTCACCCCACTCATACAATACGGGTGCTCGAAGAAACTCAAGTTCTTCCTGTGTTCAGTGTACTTGCCCATGTGTACAGAGAAAGTTCTAACTCCGATCGGTCCTTGTCGACCTCTGTGTGAGAGTGTTCGGAAACGCTGCCAGCCTGTTTTGAATGAGTTCGGCTATCCCTGGCCCTCGGCTCTCAACTGTTCCAAGTTTCCAGTTCGTAATGACCAGAACCACATGTGCATGGACGGTCCAGCAGGGGAAGAAGATGACTACCCAGGTGAACCCACGAGAATGAGACCCGAGACAAGTTCAAATTACCCCCCTCAACATACACTAACACATGGGTCAAGGAACTGCCAACACTACAGACACCCCAAAAAGTATATATATATAAACAGGACAGAACGATGTGCTTTAAAGTGTTCGGAGCATGATGCCTTCACAACTGAGGATAAGTTTTTTGCTGACGTTTGGATGGCCATATGGGCCGGGCTATGCTTTGTCGCCACTCTGTTTACAGTGCTTACCTTTCTTATAGACTCTCAGAGATTCCGGTACCCTGAGAGACCCATCATCTTCCTATCTATGTGTTACAATATCTACAGTATTGCCTACATTGTAAGACTTATTGCAGGACGTCAGTCTATATCGTGTGATAGTACGGACACGGAAAGTCAGAGTGATCAGGGAATTCTCATTCAAGAAGGACTGGAGAATACTGATTGTGCTATAGTGTTTTTGTTGTTATATTTCTTTGGCACAGCCAGCTCGTTGTGGTGGGTTGTGTTGACGTTTACATGGTTCCTGTCGGCGGGGTTGAAGTGGGGACACGAGGCAATCCAGCTCCACTCTAGTTACTTCCATCTGGCAGCGTGGGCCATCCCTGCCATCAAAACTATCGTCATCCTCGTCATGAGAGACGTGGACGCCGACGAGATCACAGGGATCTGTTACGTAGGGAACCAGAACACTAACACCCTGATGGGGTTCGCCATTGCACCCCTGATCGTCTACCTCTTAGTAGGAACGTCCTTCCTAGTGGCTGGGTTTGTGGCATTATTCAATATCCGGAAACAGGTGCGTGGGGATGGGGTGAAGACTGACAAGCTGGAGGTCCTAATGGTCAGAATTGGCATTTTTTCAGTACTGTACACTGCCCCGGCCACGTGTGTGATCGGGTGTCTGCTGTACGAGTACACCAATAGGACATCATGGTATTTTGCTGACAGTACCAATACCCCCAATATTGAGGTGTTCATGTTGAAACTATTCATGTCCCTTGTTGTTGGGATTACAAGTGGCATGTGGATGTGGTCAGCCAAAACAGTCAGTTCTTGGAGAAATTTCGGCAAAAAATTGTTTTCAAGGAGAAAGGACCGCAAAAACTGGGAATACGCAGTCCCTGTTCACCACTATCACCAAATTCCTCTGAAACCCTCGAATAACAGGACAATACGAATGCAAGAAAAAGCCAAGAGAAATATGAATAAGTCTGACAATGAAACTGTGGTGTAGTTGGAACTAGCCGCGTCACCATCGTCCTCGTCGTCGTCATCGTCGCTGCTGTTGTTGTTATTGTTGTCACAGTCGTGCACGTCATGACGGTGACGGACCAAGCTCCCTGCGCCGATAGTCCCATGTGCGTGTGGTGTATGTGCTTTTCATAGTTGGCGAATACTCGGCGTTAGAGAAACCTTCTACAGCAGGCCAAAAGGACCAACTTACATTTGTATAGCTCTGTGAAGGAAGTGGATTACGGGTAATTCTTTATTATTGTTGTTGCTGTTGTCCCAAAGAGGGATGTGTATGACAGGGAAAGGCGTGCAAGGTTCAAGATATCTAAGTCCTTACTAGCAAGTATTTTGTAGTGATTG